ATGGCTCTGTATCTTACAGTCAACCAATATACCTTAGAATATAGTTTACATTCCATCTCAATCATTTCAAAGAGTTATTGATCAATTCCAACACCAGTATGTTACTCACACATTATAGTACAATTCATGTTTCAAGAGTGATTTCTATGATAAAGTTGATGGAAGTGAGTGCCAAATGGCACATTCACTTCCAATATAGTAGTAAGCTTTGTTAATCCTTTCGATTCTGAGCCATTTTCACATCAACTTGAATCTATTTTTAACTTTTCCGCGCGTTTTTCGGTTTGATCAACCGGCAAAAATAATTTTGATCAAGTGATTTTATTGCCACTAGCCACCATCATAACTTGATATATATAAATATTTAACAATTTCACATCAGCCGAATATTGTGCCCCATTACAATCACCATCTTTTGACATCATTTATGATATATATTGTTAATGTATTTAAGGAGAAAAGCTTAATAAATAGGGGTTGACATGGGATCCAAACCCACAAACCTGAATCCTAACCAAACCCAATTTTCTTGATAATGATAAACCTACCTTAAATGAATCAATTCATTACATTGTTACATAATCTGAAATACTTAAACTCCTGCGACCTCTTTGATTATTAAATGTTGAGTGATATTATACTTACAAAAGAGTTCCACTCCTTTATCATGGTCACTTTACTGTTATTGTTATATTATTGTTATTAGGAAATTGTTCAAGAAAACCTTCATTCAGATTGAAATAAATCTACACTTTACCAATTAAAATAGATCGTTTAAATTCTGATATATTAGTCATGATGATATTCTCATTTACTACTTACAGTGTGTTATTATTGAAGAGATGTATTTCTGAAAAGAGAACAAGTCTTAATAATTAATTAATCATGATACTAACATTTAAGCAATTGAGAGTGGTATTTGTGCAACAATGAGGGTACAAACGTGTCATCAAAGTTAGCAAGCAAAAAACACCAGGACCTTTGATAGCAGAGTTGGAACTTCCTACCCTCTGTGGTTTGATCTGATTCGGAAGCTGTTCTTGTTTTTGTTGTTGATGATGATGAATCGTCCTGTTGATCAACTATAATAATGATGATGATGATCGGAATATCACAGCCTTAAATAAATACGTACTAGTCGATTCATCCAATTCATATTAGTTCAAAACTACTACATCGATTTACCAATACTAAAGTTGAGCAACCTGTTACGCAATGATTTCCTTGTACGATACCTCCTCGAATACAAAGAAGTATGCCATTTTTTTAAGGTAAAAATAGCCTTTGATTTTACAAAGGGAATTGGCGGGACCTGACAACACTCTTAAATCTATTAAGGCCACTTGTCCCAACCTGCCAGCTGGCAACTACCAATAAGTGTCGGAATTGTATTTAACAATGCTGCAATCAATGTTGATGAAGATGATAAAGTGTGGAGATCTTACTGTTGTTGATCCATCCATAACTGTTGATAATGGTCATTTTGAGGATGATGATGAATGTTTGGATGAAGAGTGTGGCAAAGCATAACCTTCATAAATTGGAACAGTGGCAGGCACCATCACCAGAGTCCAAAACAACACCAGTAGTTCAACTAGAAGCATACAAGGACAAGACAGCTTGATATTGAGTTTTCACAAACTGACCATCAAAAATTTTATACGGGTGACACTCAACTTGCAAATTTTCTTCTGGTCCAGCGGATCGACGAATTTATATCAACCTCCAGAGATCTACACGTCTCCACTTAAGAATGAATTATATCAATAACAACCTAATCTCCAAAAGCTGATAATAAGTCAACCAGAGAGTTTGTCATAATGCTATTTGCAGTCATTGATAGTTTTTCTGGACAGCATTTCTAAAGGTTGGAGACAGGCTTGTGATCGGAACTTGATATGAACAAAGCTTTACCAATCAAAAAAAAATGAAACAACTTGTCAAGCTTGGTGTTTTAACACACAAATTGATAAAACCACAGCTCTTCAGTTCATCATCATTGGCTCGTTTTTCATCAAGTAAATTCACTTTAAATACACTTCAAAGTGAAAGATTGGAAATTGTAAAGAAAGATGGAGATGAATTATTGATCAATTATGAAAAATTTCCGGAGAGTGAATATGATAAAATTTTAAATGATGAAGAGTTAATTGAAACAAGTTTGAAAAATTCTAGTGATTACAATATTAATATGTTAACTTATCAATTAATTAAATATCAATCCAAACTATTGACCAGTAACAGCAATATTATGAAAATTATACTTTCTAGAAATGGAAATTTATTGAAATATTTTCCAAATTATCAAAATGATAGAGAATTAGTTAAAATAGCATTGCAAAGTAATGTTCAAGCATTTGAATTTGCATCACAAGAATTGAGATCTGACTTTGAATTGTGTAATATGGCACTTTCTATAAATGGATCATTGATGAAATACGTTACAAATGAAGACGTTAAGAATAACAAGGGTATAGCACTGAATTCAATTAAAAATTCAGAAACATCCTTTAGATATTTATCTGAAAATTTAAAATCTAATTTGGAATTTTGCAAAATTGTCTTGAAAAGTAATTATAGAATATTTCCATATTTACCATATGAATTAAGAAATGATGAATCAATATTTAAATTACAACCAAAAGTTGAATCACTACCATTCGAATATTTTGGAGAAGATATTAAAAAGAATATCAACTTTCAAAAATCAATGTTACAACGTGGAAACTCACTTTCATTAATATTACCCTATAACACCAGTATTGATATTCAACAATTTGCAATCAAATGTAATCCAGAGAATATAGATCACGTCTATAATGAAATTAAGCTCAATAGAGAATTTATTAAAGAATGCGCAAAAGAGACTAATTTAACATTTAATTATGTTTACAATGAGTTTTACAATGACAGAGAAATGAGTTTGTGGTTTTGTAAATGTAACGCATTCAACTATGCCTATATTAATCCTCTATTTGAACAAGACGACCAGTTTAATATTGAACTAATTCAATATATTAAATTAGGATTAAATGGGTTTCAACACTTGAATTCTTTGATAGGAAATATATTGAAAATGATATTGACCTATTAAAAATGTTTCCAGAAGGTTTAAAATACGCCTCTGAAACTCTAAAAAATAATAAGAGACTAGTTCTATATTTTATCAAACAATTTAACTTTAATTTTAATCATGCCTCTAACGGTTTGAAGGATGATATTGATGTTGTAGAATTGGCACTCAGTAGAAGATATTTCCGTGCATTAGAGCAAACTTCATTGAAACTTGAACGAAACTTCATATTGAAAATGATTGAAAAAAGTGAAGGAATTCCAATGAGATATTTTCCTTCAAATAGTGAATTTAGAAAAGATCCACAAGTAGTAATGAATACATCCAAATATAGAATTTACAATATTGATGGTGCGGATGAGGAATTGTTAAATAATTTTCAATTTATTAAACAATTATTAGAACAAACTTATGATAATAGTGGATGCATTTATCAGTATGTGGGAAGTGAACTAAAATCAAATTGGGAATTTATCAAATATTGTGTGGAAAGGAATTATTGTGAATTGTATTTTATTGATAAGAATTATATTGTAGATTATATTGAACTATTGGAAATTTGCATTGAAAAAGGAGAGGATCCATTTAGGTATATCAAGGGAGATATATTGGATGAGCGAGTACTCGATCTTATAGAAAAATATCCTCAATATATGTGCACTGTTTACAATATTTTGAAATACAGTAAGCCCGAGATTACAATGAAAATTAATCTTGTAAAGTATTTTACAAATATTCAGGAAAAGTATGGAAATGAATTGAAGAATAGTAATGAATTCAAAGAATTCTATATGAATTTTCAAGAATGGAAGCAAGACAGAGAATTGGCCAAACTTGTATTGAAACATCAAGGACATTTATTACAATTTCTAAATTTGGAATTGAGAAATGATGTGGAAATTGTACAAATTGCAATGGAAGAAAATGAAATGAATATTTTATTTGCTTCGGAACAAATTCAATCTCAATATGAAAATATTCATTTCATATTGAAACAAGTTGAAAATTCCAAAATAATTTCCATTCCAAAAATTGAGAATAATGATGAAAATAACATAACAAAACAAAGATGGAGTATCATCCCATCGATTTTGCGTTTTTTCAATGATACATTTACTTTTTTCAGAAATTCCAATAAATGATAACCATTTCTATAAAGGCAAATCAATGCCTATCCTATAGTTTAATAAATATTCTCGAAATTCTATTTATTTATTTACATACTATTTACAAAGATGCAAAATTACTTTCTCAAATTTCTGGAATAGGCCTTTGCCACCTTTTCCATAGTTGGTGCTTTGTAGTAAACACCTCCATAATCATCAAAAGAATCGCTCTCTGCCTCACAATCATCATTTCTAGTCATGACATTCTGAGCTGAAACATAATCATCACATTGCATATCAGATAAGGTTGAATAATTCATCAAATTCTTAGTTCTGGTTGAGGCAATTTCAAAGGTTTTAACTTGGGCAACCTTTTCAGAGGATGTTTCATTGTGAATGAGTTTAAGTAAATCATCCATTCCCAAATTATTGACCTTCTCTTCTCCCAATTCTTTAATTTTCTTTGCAACAAGATTGTCCATATCTTCATCTTCCACACAACCATTAATCACCAAATTTGGTATCTTATTAGCATCTGTTAAGAGTAAACATTTACCATCAGTTTTAGTTGTCAAATAATCCATAAACAAGGTCAATTGTTGATCATCCTTTGCTCTTTCACACAAAATTCCATAAAAGACAACATTCTTCTCCTGGAGAGCAGATCCCAATTTGATCCAATCAATGACATTTCCTTGTTGATCCTTACATCCTTCTGGATAGCTATCAGATGATGTTTTCATTCCATGTGGAGGAGCATCAGCAACCCAAACAACAATCTTCTTTCCCTTCTTATTAAATGGCATTTCATTAATGACATAGAGAGCTGATGCCAAAGCTTCAGGATGATCACCTCCACCTTGAGCTGACATTGTATTGATATAACCCTTTGCCTTATTCAAATCCTTTGTAAATGGGAATTCCTTAACTGCATAATCATCAGTGTGATCTCTATAACTGACAGCTGAAAATCTCAAATCAGATTGAAACTTTTCATGAAGTGTTGAGATGATAGTAGTTACAGTTCGTTTGGCAACTTCAATTTCACCAGACATTGATCCAGTACAATCCATTACAATAACCAAATCGACAAAATTTTCACTGTGGTCAACCAATTCTTGATCATAACCTTCTTCTTCCAAATGTTTAGCACGAATCCAAGCACCTGTTGTTTGAGAATTGCTTGTTGTGTTTGAGACAAATGCATCACCATCTAAAATTGTCAATTCATCCATTCTTCTTTCTAATTTTTCTTCAACTGGCAACATTTCGTCACAAAAATCATCATCACAATTGTTTAAATCAGAAGGAATGTAGAGATCCATTATTTTGATATTGTAGGTTATAATTAACGTTTCTGTTTGTTTTGATTTTGTTTGGAGTACGAACTGAACGGGAGTTTTGATTTAAACTTGTGGAGAATAGCAAGTTCATTGTTCGAAAGTTACTACCTCTTTCATTTGTTTCATTGCAATTACGAAGAGTTCCAATGCACAGGGAAATGAAGTTTGCAATTCTAGAATAAACTTTGAATTAGTGTAATTTAGAATAATAAAGACCAGGTTTATTGTCTCTTGTTTAAATTGCAATTATTATCAACTCAAACACTGAACCGAAACTTAACATAGCTCATTTCTTTACCGATAACGAGTGAACATGGATAAAAGTGATTTGATTGTTCCCTCACTCGTGTCAAACTTCCAAAATGCACAGTAAACAGAACATTGGCAGTTACAACTTTACAAAAGAGTTTCATTTTGTGAGGAATTTATTAAAACGAGATGGATTTTGAATATTTTGGAGATTACAGAATGACGCACGAAAATTATTAGAAATGCAAAGTGACATCACTCAAAGTCATGGCTCCATTGTGCACAGCAAATCTCCGTAAATAATTTTCCATTTCAATTATTCCTTTTTGAATTCCTTCTCTACACATAATCATTCCACAATATAAATCATTTCCTTTCATTACTGCCAAATCTACAATTTCATCTGGTTTTCTTCCGAAATCTCCAATTAATTCATGAGCATTAAATAATGGAACGAATGTGAGGTGTTCAGTCTTTCGGAGAATACTATGATGTTTCACGTTACTACTACTCTTACCAAAATGCAATAGCTCATTATTTTCTAATGGTGTGGAATAGTTCAATGTAAACTTTAATTGTTTAAAAAAAACTTACGTGAAAGAGCAAAGGAGGAATATCCAGAGCAACAAATAGATTTGAAATGGGACGCATTCTCAAACTGAATTCTTACCAAATTGACACAGTCAGTATTCTTATATTGATCTTCCCACACTTTTCCAAGTTGACCACTAATCATCATTATAAAAATCAATATTAGTAACACAACTAGTACACAACACTACTTACTCTGTCATTAAACCACATCCATACAATTCATTGTTAAAAGTCAAGTACAATGAATGAAAACTTCCACAAGCATGTTTCTTCACTCGACCTTGCAATTTAGAAACAAGTGTAAAATGATTCAAATCAACTGTTCTATCTCCTTCAGCACCCACATTAATATAGCAATTGTATCCACATCCATAACAATCACCATTCTTACATCTCACAACAGCAAACAAGTAGCCCATTTCAATATCAACAACTGGACTTGGAAGGGATGATAAAAATTCGTGGAATGTAAATTTAGTAAGGTTCATATCATGATCTGTCCCTAATCCAAATACTCCACTGCTATTCTTTCCATAAACATAAACCTTTCCCATTTCTTTAACATATTCGAAATTTAACAAATAATTTAACAAATAATTAAACAAACAATATCCATAAATTGAATTAAATTTCCATAAAATTAAATGAGAGAGATGAATAATCAATACTTACCAGTTAGCAAGAAAAAGAACTCAGTTCTAGAACTAGTTCTCACACATTTCACTTGATCACCAACTTGTAATTGTGGTAATTCTACACCATTACTTAAAGTCTCATCAGTTTGTTGAGCAATGTACATTTTCATATTGGTCAATACAATTTTCTTCTGTGATGCAATTTCCACATTGATTATTCTTTCGCTTGGATCAAATAGTTTCGTATTACTTTTAGAAAATGTTTGTGCGAGAATATCCGAATCGACGGCAGCATCAGAAAATATATCAAATGATGAATAATAAGTTAAAACAGATGAATATTGATTGTGGCAAGAATCAGAAATTGCCATCACATAATCTGTTTCATTCGACCGAATTTCCTTCACATTCGACTTGTTTATCGGAGAAAGTGCACAATAAGAATATAAAGATCCAGTTTGCATCACATAATCGTGATAGAGAGAGTTGCTCTTTGGTTCCTCTGTGAGTTTACTTGTAGAGATGGCAAAAAGGTGGTTTCGGTTTGCAAACATTTTTTTTGAATTGGTAAATTTGTTGGTTGCCAAATTAGAAACAACACAAGTGAAAGGAAACACGATAATCAAACGAAATATTGTAAAGGGTACATACCATCACAGTTTATTGGTAACAATAGTAGTTAGATTTCGAATAAAATATTTCGGATAACAGGTTAAGTACCAAACTGGGCAAAAACAAGGCAACACCAATAACTATTAATAATTGAACCATATCTGCTGGAGTGCATTATCTTCACTGTTCTCGTTGACTTGTAAAACAAACCAAATTTGGAATGCAAGTTGTGTAAATTTTCTCTCCATGTACTTTGCCAAGTCTTTCGTACTACTAGAATGAACATCAGATTTCATATATTTCAAATACTTGTCCAAATAAGTAAAATATGATTTCAAACACTATCAAAGATCAAGAAAAAGTTGATCTTATTTTTTCAATTATTGTTTTTTAGAAATAAGGACAATCTCCGTTCATATTTGAAACAAATTCTCTCAGCCTATTGACCAGCAAGAATTATAGGGACCAACTCCAGTAAGACATTAGTTGAAAAGTGGATGTAAGAGTTAAACACCTCCTTAATGTCCATATTCTTATGCAAAGAGACACTGCAACTTGACAACCCAGTCGAAGTTTTAATAAGTAAGACCTCCAATGCTTGTGTCGAGTTCAAAATAATATGATTGAAAGTGAATTTTGTTGTGGAGTGGGGTGCTTTAAGAAAATTGCTTGCATGAGTATGACTCCAAATTACCAAACACTAAAATGGCATTATTCAACTTATCATTTGTTATTCATAATTTTCTTTAATTGAGGTTGTCATTTGATTATGTTTCACATCGGGCATCTTTTAAATGACTGCCCTTACAAAGAGCCCTACTGACCACCATCTGCGACCATTTACCTCACACGTCAATACCAAAGAAAGAATCTCTTCGCACTACAGAACTGTCTAACAACATTTCATACACAGCAAAAAAAACAACTAATGTCTCTGCAACAATTTCAAGTTGCCAACAGTCAGCAACTCTCTCCTTTCTTTGAACAATATGCCATCACACCATCCAACAATATCGCAGCTCTCCTGATTAATTCATATTTTCAACATTCATTAATGGAACCATTCTCCATGCTTTCAGATAATTCAACATTAAATTTCACCACCAATAATACTAAAGTTTGTGATTCCTCTCTCATCGGTACGCCATGGATTCGTGAAATGAACGTTACATCTCAATACGGTCTCTGCAATGATACCTATTTTGCCTTTGCCACATGTCTAGCATTTATGATTGTATATATAATTACTGTATTATTGACAGGTGTAGGTGTTTTCTGGAAGAGAAAGTCCAGTCACGTCGAAGCGAGAAGTCCAATCTATCTCGCCTTTACTTTATGTGCTGCTTTCTTTTTCATTGTGGGAATGACTTTGAGAATTGTCATCTCGAGAAGGTTATTCCCTTGTGGTTTGTTAACTATTTGCTTTTTCACATTTCCTGCAGCTGTGACATTACCTACTATTTTCAGATTAATGAGAGCATATTTCATGTACAAGATTAATTTACAGAAAACTAAACTATTCGAATCACCGACTAATTTACAAAATACCAGTACTACAAATACAGGAGGTGATAACACTTCAGGTAATATTGAATTGAAACAAGCAATTGATAATTTTACAATTGAAACTCAAAGTGGAACCCAACAACAACAATTCTTTGGACAAGAGGATGGTATAGTGAAAAGACAAGAACGTCTCTCTAGAGTAATTGCAAAAAATCATGAATATGAACCTCAACTTGATTCCATTAATGGAACTACTTCAAATACTGTTACAGATGATGATGATGAAAGTAATTTTGATACTGATAATGATTCACAAGCAGACGTTTCAACTTGGAATATGAGTGAATATAAGGATTTGGCAGATGTGCAAAAAGAATTGAGAAAGTTGAAAATTTTCAATTTCCTAATCAGTGTCAAATTCATTACTGTGATTTACATTCTTTCCTTCTTATTTGGTGTAATTATTTGGCTTATTGTTGGTGTTGCTGAGGAAGCAATTTACAATACAAGTACAGATCCAAACAAGAAGAGAATATTCTTGAATGAGGGTGGTATTCTTCTATTTTCACACGGTTGTGGTATGAATACTACAACTACCATTATGATTTCTGTAGAATCAATCTTGTTCATTCTCTTGGAATTGGTATTTTTAATATTTGCCTTTACAGCAGACAGAGACTCTTGGGGAATTAAGAGGGAGACTATGATTTTGATTGTTATTCAATTAACTAGTGCTATTTTGTTTGTAGTTGCTGCTAATATTGATTTCATCGCATCTGTTACAGATGCCTATTTCCCATATGGTTTCATTTTGTGGGGGTACATGTTCATTGAAGTAATTGTGTGTGTCACTATTCCAGTCATTCGTTCCATAATATTTGACAAGAAACTAGCCAAAAATACCGAATCTGAAAGTGGCTTAGAGAAGGTTCTCAAAAATCGTAAAATGTTCAAAATTGTACTCGAATTTGCTAGAAGAAGTTACTGCACTGAGAGTGTCTTGTGTTGGAGAGATATTCAAAGATTCAAGAAGGCAAAGAGAAGTCAGAGGAAAAAGGCAGTAAACCACATTGTCAATGCTTACATGACCGTTGGTGCTCCATTAGAACTTAACATGCCAAAGATTACCTTCAAAAGTGCCGAAATTCTTGAACAAGTGAAGCAAATAGAATCAACCAATGGCAAAATTCCAACTGATATTTTCAAAGCTGTGCAGGACCATTGTTTGAATGACATGGCAGATTTGTTTGATAGATTGAAAAATTCTAATAATGTAATCTCAGATTTTGTAAAGAATTACAAAAAAGCATCTACCTATACTGAAAGCAAGTTAGATACCTCCGCAACAAGTTCCAATCTTGTAAATTCCACATCTACGTTAACGTTGATGAATCCAACGGTAACATTTTCAGATCAAGTTTGATTTTAATAAATCATGAGGTTTTGAATTCGTTCTTATTATTCCTTTTTGATTTGAAAATCAATATCTGGATTAATCTTTTTCAATTCTCGTTTTTCTTTCAACTCTTTCAAATTTACAACACTATGAGGTTTAGTATTACTACTCTCAATATTAGAATACTTTTGTTGATGAATTTTTACATAGTGATCCGAATCCAAAGGTTTAATAGGATTTTTATCACTCTCGCAACCAGTACAATTAACTGTTGGTGAATAACTCAATTCCAATCTCGAATCCAATTCCAAATACAAATCCATCGTTTCACTATTATAATACAGAGGATAGGTACGTTGTCTTTGTCCCTTTGATTTATAAGTATGATCAATATCCAAATAGAATGATTCACCAGTTTTCAAACTAATATAATAATGATGCCAAGGACACACTACACATGAATGTTTCCTCGTTTTGCTATCTTTATAATTCACCATCAAATCTTCAATATCACCCTTCTCCAAAGGACCTCCCATATGATAACAATATTCATCAATAGCATAAATCTTATTCTTTTTTGTCCTGAATATAGCTATCAATCTCCTACTCTCCTCATCATTAAAAACAAACCTTCCATTCAATGGAATTTGATTTAAATTTTTAATTAATATTAATCTATTCCCTGATGATGAAGATAAATAAATTCTTGTTGTATTATTAAAATCACTGGATTGTTGTTGTGAGGAGGATGAATTGAATGCTGTATAGGAGGAATTACTGATGTTGTTGGTAGTATCAATCAGAGTAGGAGAGGTAGTCATTGGAGGTAAAGGTTTGATATTCTTCGGAATAATAGTGGTTAGAGTTGTTGTTTGATCAGAACTGGAGGATGAAGATCTCTTACGAGGTGGTGCCAACATGTTATTATTATTTGTGTTATTGTTGTTTGGTGGCAATTGGTGATGATTGGAGGATCCACCACCAAGAAATCTATTGAACATTTTTTTTAAATATAATTAATATTATTGTAAATTTAATTTTATTAACTAGTAAACATTTCAAGGTGTGCAATTCTTAATACATGTACTTTACAAACGAGAAGACTGTTTCGAATAAAAAAAAACATTTTACAAATTAAATACATGAAAATTCCTCTTTAACAAAAAACCCTTCCTCTTTTATCATTCATTTCAATGTCATCGCACTGTACAGAAAAACCGCGCCAACCTATCAAAAAAAAATGCCAGCAAGTCAACCCACACACTTTGGATTAATGGAAGATGCTCTGGAGGTGTTCCTTCGGGAGAATATCAATGGGTGGATGATTGGAAGAGGAATTTTAAATGATACAAGTCCATTCATTGGATTATTGAATTCAACTAATAGTAGTGCTTTTGCATGTGATCCTATATTATTCAACTTGGGAGGATGGTCTCGGGAGGGAAATAATGGCACAATTGATTATGGGCTGTGTCCTGATACTTATATTAGTTTTGCTTTGGTGTTGACCTTTGTGATTGTTTATATAATAAGTGTTATTTTCAGTGCAATTGGTAAAGTTTCAATAATTTATTGTTTTAAATTGTTTGTTGACATTTCTTTTTGACAACAACAGGAGTGATATTTAAGAGGAAGAGTGGACATATTATGGCAAGAGATCCCACATCATTGTACATGACTTTATGTGCTGGTTTCGTATTTGTTGTTGGATTAACATTGAGAATAATCATCGGACGAAAGATATTCCCTTGTGGTATAATTACTTTTAGTTTCTTTACATTACCTCCAGCTGTAATGCTACCGACAGTTTTCAGAATGTTGAGAATTTATCTCATGTACAAGATTAATCTTTTAAAGATGAAACTTTTTGATGTTTCAGCAAAAGACAGCACTGTTGGTGCTACATCAGTGACAAACCCGAATGGCATTGTACCAATTAACCAGCTAAAGGAACAAACTGAGGTGGAATTGAAAAAATCAGACTCTAAAATATTTGGATTGGAAGACATGGCAGGAAGGCAAGAACAAATTCACAAGGTGGTTAACAACTTTGATCCTAACAATTATGAGGATATTGGACTCGATCCTCCAAATTGGGATGATTCAACAACTGATGGAGATTCTGAATCACAAGCTGACGTTTCAACTTGGAATATGAGTGAATTTAAGGAAGTTAGTGATGTTAAAAAACAAGTTAAACAATTGGCCATTCTGAACTTTTTCATCAGCAAAAAGTTTATCCTTTCCACCTATGCCATTGCATTCCTTGTTGGAGTTATAATTTGGGTAGTTTTAGGAATTGTTGAGGAGGTGACTTATAATGCAAGTACAGATCCAAACAAAAAGAGATTATTCCTCTTTGATGGTGGTCTGTTTGTCTTTGAAAGAGGTTGTGGTCTCACTACTACAACAGTCTTGATTGTTGGTGTCCATGCACTGGTCTACATCTTCTTAGAATTGGTATTCCTCATCTTGGCAGTTATGGCTGATAGAGATACATGGGGAATTAAGAGAGAAACACTCCTTCTAATCATTGTTCAGGTTGGAGCTGCCATCATTTTTATAGTTGTTGGCATGTTGGATATTACAGAAAAGTTATTGGACTATTTGGTTCCAACTGGATTGGCGTTATGGATTTATGAGCTGATTGAAATTATTATGTGTGTTGGAATGCCTGCCATGTATGCCTTTATCAGCGACAGAAAGAGCAAGCTCTCACAATCCAACAATGACACTGAAAGGAAACAAGCTGTGAAAGAAACAGGAATTGAGAAGGTTTTGAAAAACAAAAAGACCTATCAAATCTTACTTGACTTTGCAAGAAGAAGTTATTGCACTGAGAGCGTTTTGTGTTGGAGAGATATACAGAGATTTAAAAAGGCAAGAAAGGCAAACAGAAAGAAGGCAGCCACTCACATTTTGAAGGCTTACCTTACTGCTGGTGCTCCACTAGAATTGAATATTAGCAAAATTGAAGAAAGGAGGAGTGAAATTGAAAAGTTAATTGAGGAAAATCCAAATATTTCACACAATTTGTTTGCACTCATCCAAGATCATTGCCTTAACGACATGACAGATCTATTCGAAAGATTGAAGAGCTCCAACAAGCAAATTGGTGACATTGTCAAAGAACTCAAATCTTTGAACAATTCAGTTCAATCAACAAATTCTACACAGTAAGAAATCATTCCAACCAAGAGAAACGTCAATTACTACAGTCAAGACTTCATTGAGTATTTCAATAATTGTAATTATCAATTTTGGAAATCTGACCTTGCACTACAAATTAATTTTGCCCAAGTCACCCCTGGCAAGCCTTTGAATCGATGGCTATTTTCAGTGTAGATTACATCCTGATATCTCAGATTCCTCTCAACTATAGGATAGAATTTGATGGTCATTGCACTTGTAATGACCTGGTCAAAGCGTTTGAATTAGACCTACCATTGGCTCAACAGGAAGTCAATCAAGAATACAATGCCACATTTGTATTATATACAGTATTTACAAACATTGTATTTTACTAAGTGTTAACTTGGACAAACAACAATTAGATTACAATTCAATTGAGCTAATTGAGCTGAGTTCATCATAAGAGTGGTTCACCAAAGGTGAACTCTACAATACCTGTGTGTGGTTGTTCAACCCAAATAATAGCTACACCTTTTCCTATTAATAAACTCCACCTTACAGTAACGAGGAACAAAATTACAACACGAAAAAAAATGCCCATTACATTCCAAGTTACAGAGGTGAAGGTTGAAAATGTTTCCAAACCCCAACAAGCCTTTAAACCTGAACAAATTCTTCCTGGAAAGGAGAGAAACTATTCCTCTTCAAAGACTCCTGAAGAAAAGGAAGTTTATGTAAAGCAACCGATTACATCAAGTTTTGGTAAAATAGATGAATCCATGATCAAGTTGGGATCAAACTCTTTTGTAAAAAGTGCTGTTCAAGCCTATTCCTATCACCATAATTTGGTCATTAAACCTGATGATGTATGGCTAGCTATTTGTACTCAATTTTCAAATTATGTGAATGGAAAGTCAGAAGAATTGAGAGGCAAATTTGTAGACTTTGATGGAAAGAAACAGCTAACAGTCTACGGTTCTGGTAATTTATTCTCGGCTGATTATGTTTCCCTCTCATTGGATATGACCAATCAAATTGCACAGAATATTAAGGATCCAAGCGTAAGAGAATGGGTCATGCCAGATTTTACTACCACCACTGAGAATGATAGGATGGTTGGAGCAGTGGTCCTTATGGCTGCTATGAAGAATTACTTTGATTACAAGTTTTCGTTGTGTTGTAACTTGCCAAGTGTTACATTATTGGGGGAGGTTGAGGACTGGGTTAAGATTAGAGAAAGAGCTAATAGATTATTGGAATTTGACACAAAGGAAGGATATATGGAACAATGGTCTGCTTTGTTATTCCCTGTTTTGGATCATTTTGTAGAATCAATCAAGGGAAATCCCAATAAGGAGTGGTGGAATAGAGTAGCTCACATTTCAGGCGGTGGATCAGGTCCTCGTTATTTGGGTGGATGGATTACAACTTTCTGTGTATTTTCAGAGAAGGGAATATGGAGAGGAGATTGTCAACCTGGTGCATGGCCAAAGATTGACTCACAAGATATTCCAAGAGGATACGTCAATGTTCCAATTTTGGTCGATGATAATGGCACAGAGTATAAGACTGAAATGTTTGCTGGACACATGATTTCTAATGTGATGGAAGATGGAAAGACCATTCAACCAAGAGTAGATTGGGCTCTTTTCCAACTCAATGAATAAATTGTTATAGTAGTGTAAACAGCAACATGTGGTATAACAAACTTTTTGACGAAACTTAATAGCCATGGTTGTAGACCACATCTCTCAGGACTTTACGGTACAAGAGACCATTAAGCACTTGAAAATTGTTCTGTATTGGAGATATATTCAAAGTTTTCTGCAGAGGCATTGTTTCAATGACATGACAGATTATTCGAAGAACTCCAACAAGCAATTAGATATTGTTCAAGAAATGAAAGGATTGAAAACAACTCATGTCCAGCAGATAAAAAGGTTTCAATATTCTCTCACAAAGGTCACACTTCTTTATTGTTAACAATTTAATATTTTCCATAATTTCCACCATGACTTCCATATTGATTGTAATTGTATGGTCTATGATATGGTCTATGATATGGTCTATAATATGGTCTATAATATGGTCTGTAGTATGGTCTATAATAAGGTCTATAATAAGGTCTATAGTATGGTCTGTAGTATGGTCTATAATTATAAGGTCTTCTGTAACCATAGCTCATTTGTTCGAACATTTCTTGTTGTTGTTGTTGGTTAGGATCAACTTGACCTTGTTGATTTGGATCGAATTGTTGTTGATCTTGAGAACCTTGTTGGTCTTGTGAACCTTGTTGATCTTGAGAACCTTGTTGGGAACTTGGTTGTTGTTGTTGTCCTCCTTGTTGTTGAGCATAACCATAAGTGTCATAAGAGTAAGGATCTTGATTTTGTTGACATTCAATGCCAATGATAACTGCCAACAATAGCAATGCTAAAAGAATAATGATTGAAATCTTTTTCATTTTTTTCTGATTATTGTTTTGAATTAAGCCAGAACCAAGTCAACCTTTTATATCGTCGAGAAACAACTTCAAAATCAAACAAAATCCTATTTGAGTATTTACTGATTCAGATATGGCATTCTCTATTCAGGTACATTCTGATTCTGATGCTGATATCTAACTTCTTTTATGTCAATTTGCCATACTAATATTTTGAAATAATCATAATAACCGTTGTTACAATAAATGATTGAATCAAATTCAGTTAATTAATTTTGATTGCTTCATCCTCCAATCTTGTATCATTTGGTAAATCTCCTTATCAGAAGATCTCAGACGATCAAAAATGTCTCTCATATCAACCAAACAATGGTCTTGGATCTGATTGAACATGTCTCTTGGAAGCTTTTCATTGGTATTAGAAACCCTATCAGAAAATTCCTTTTTTCTTATTATAATATTGTCAATATTCAATTCCAAAGGAGATCCACTCGTTAGATATGAATTTACAATGTGATGAGCCATCTTTCTTCGATTGTTAGCTCTCAACTTTTTAAATCTCTGAATATCTCGATAGCACAACACACTCTCAGGTGCATAACTTCGACGTGCAAAGTCCAACATCTTATTGAATGATTTTCTATTACGTAGAACTTGTTCCAACTCAGAGTCAAACTCTGTATCCATTCTCCTTAAATTCCTATACTCACTCACTATTGCATACACAACTGGCAATAGCACAGTAGTGAAAACTTCAACAAGTGAAAAGGTCATGAGTGAATACCCATATGGAATAAAGTAATCTGTCAATGTAACAATTTCATCAATTAAACCAGTCACTACAAATGCAATTATTGCTATAACTTGAAAGATGATAATGAGAATGGCCTCTTTTTTCACACTCCATGTGTCTCTGTCTGATCTGATACATAATATCAGTGCTACAATTTCAAAAATAATGTAAATAACTGATTCTCCTGCAATGATGAGGACCATCTTGGTGCTCATTGAACATCCTCTATCAAAAACAAGCATTCCACCTTCCAAAAGAAAGATTCTCTCACCAGTATGACTTAGTGAGTTGGAGAAGAGAGCTTCCTCAACACCTCCCAAAATTAACCACAAAGCTATTTGGAAAATGACAAATGTAGAATAGAGAATGAGAACAAACTTGTAACTTGACATGAAGGTAAATATTTGAAACCTTCTAACTTCTGATTGTAAATCAGATAAATCTCTAAATGCCCAAGTGGATCGACTGTCAATATCTGAATACGAATCACTATCATCTGTTTCTGTAACATCTACATCAAATAAATTGTCATTGTTTTTGAAAAGTCTTGGAGAGGAATCAACCAGATCTTGTTGAGACATGTTTTCCATTGTTGAAGATCCATTCGAATAATGAGATGTTGAAAAATCCACATTTCCGTTTGGATTATCGACAGATTTCAAAATTGGTGAAACTCCAGCTGTCTTGATATCAATACTCTTAGCATTGAGTTCAATGGCCTTCTCTGGATCAATGGTAGTACTAGGATTGGTATTATTGATAATTTCGGTAATGTTTGACCTTCTGTGAATTAAATCCTCATTTCCATAAATTTGTTTTTCACTTGATGAAATAGTTAAGCTATTACTATTCGAATCCACAACTCCTAATGATGAATTATTTTGACTATTTGTTACATTCATTTCAAATGATTGAATTTGTGAATTTACATTTTCTCCTGTTTGAATAGCTTGATTCGATTTTCCCATATTCTTCAATTCGAATAATTTAGTTTTTTGTAAATTCAATTTATACCTATTATTAATCCATCCAGTAACAATAAACATTCCAGAAAAAAACATTAATAAACCAAAATATTAATTAAATAATATTAATAATATTAAACAATTAAAACTCACATGAAAAACAATCTCAAACATCTCAAAATTGTTGGTAAACTCACAAGTGGAGGCAATACAAAAAACAGTACAGTATAAATTGCACAGGGAAATAGCTTTCGTCCAATCATGAATCGCAATCCATTACCTCCAATGAATATCAATGCAGCCACAATAGTCATGAACATGTAAATTGGATTTCTTGCATGTATAAATCCATTCCTTCTCTTCCATATCATTCCCATCAGTGAAATTAAACAAATTCCAAGAAAGAGAGCAAGGAAAATTGATGAAAATATTGGAGTGATGATTGAATCTGGACATAAACCAAATTCAAACTTTGGTTCCTTCTCAGTACTCCATTTGCCTAGGTTGAAGAGAATGGGAGAACAATCCGTTCGATTGGAAGTAGAATTACTTGTTTGACTATTATTGAGTATTGTTGGAAAGGTTTCGTTTGCCATTATGGTCATGACATGATTAGTTGAATATTGTTGGTGATGGTGATGAGGGAATGATGATGCTATTGTTGTTATTGGTATTGTGAAGAGATTGATTAGTAGGGTTTCAATAAACCCTTCATTATCTCCTGACATTTTGTTTGAACAATAATAATATTCGAAAATAGATAATGAAACTCTGTTAATTAGCAACTTTCTAATTGTTTTCAGTAGTATGAAGACTAAATGATGATACTGAAGGATTCTGCTCCTTTATGAGACGAAAGGATAACGTGTTAATGGTATTTGTTTTTCTATTTTATGGCTTCGTACTGAAGCGGGAGGAGTTCAAACATTTGTTGGTCGGCAGCGTCATAGGTCCTCAACAAGTGTCATTTGTCATGTCTTAATAAGAATGAGGGATTAAATTGCCATGTTGGCAGCCTAAATAATGTTTGAAAACCAACACTTGTTATGACCAAGGTTAATACCCATTGGTTGTTTCCATACATTTTGGTAATCATTACAATTTGATTTTGCCATTAATGTTTGACTGATCTACTTGGTGATGAAGATTTAATGAAGATTATTGAGGTATTTCATTATGAATAATACTATTAATCAATAATACCTTTATTCCAAAAAATTCCTCAAATTAATTACTCTTTTCAGTAACATTAGTTGGTGGTGGTGTTGATGAATCAGTAGTGGAAAGAGCAGCATCCACTGGTTTCTTATTCAATTCATAATTAACCTTTCTAGTCAAGTGATACAATTGAACACCTTCATTAACAACGTGACAGTAAAGAAGGAGCATGTTACGAGGCTTTACCATCCAGGCAAATCTCATGAAAACTGCACTGTAGGCTGCAAGAGCAAAAGTCATTGGACCAGAAACAAGTTCTGGTGGTCTGTCATAATCAGCCAAACCAGCAATGGCAATACCCCAGTTTGCTACTGGACCCCAGAAGTGAGTAGTTTTCATTCCTATTGATCATCATTAAATATCCACATTGTTATATTATTCCGAATAATTATCAATGATGATTGTTAATAGAATATAACATTTTCCAATTAATATAATAATAATTATCATCAACATGGCCAATGGTAAAAAGTAGATGTTCACCATAATAATAATTTCAATGTCATCAATAATCAATGAATTTAAATCAGAGCAGATGAGCAAATACAATCATCATCATTATCGTCATCATGTATAACAGTAACAAAATATTGTTTTTTTTACCGTAAATTTTCATTGTTTTCAGTTTTGTAGTTATAATTAATGATCATTAACAACAAGAAGAGAACAAAGAATACAAACCTATTGGGGATTCCCACAATCTACGAAAAACACCAGTGAATTTATTGCTCATTGTTATGTGGAATGTTAATTTTCGCGTTTTTTTGTTGATTGACAAGTGAACGTCCATTTATTGGCAGGAGGACAAAGTCAATAAGAGGAGCAATTCGTAATGATGTTAAAAGTCCTTGTTCTTGGGAGTAGTAACCAAAGCTATTATCTACTTTTTGATAGCAAGAGCTCTAACCATTGGATGCTCAATATTATTACCAATCTTGTTCCCCGTTTGTACCAACATATCATTGAGAGAAGATTACACACTTTGAAAGAACAGGTAAATATTTAAATTTACTCTAATTTTAGGGATATTGTTGTAGTAGTGAGGAGTGGTTTCACTAGCTAGCAGAATCTAGAGAGAGGAAAATCTATCAACAATACAAGCTTGTTGATTTGTAGAGAGGTTTAGCAATTTAGGTATATAAATAAAGTGTGATGAGAGTAGGTTGTTGTATGGAGAGAGATTTGTTGAAAATTGTGGAATTAAGCTATTGATCAGTGAGCAAGTTTACTTTCTCTTCTTCTTTGGAGCTTCATCTTCATCATCATCGTCTTCTTCGTCCTCATCTTCATCTTCATCGTCTTCCTCTTCTTCGACGTATTCTTCATCATCTTCGTCGTCTTCATCTACTTCGGCTTCAGCTTCTTCCTCTTCTTCTGGTTCTTCGTCCTTTTCTTCTCTAGTTCTCTTTGGAACAGCCTTCTTTGTTGTTGTTTCTTCTTGTTCTTCTTCTTCAACAACTTCTTCAGTTTCAGTGAGGTCCTTTGGATCGGTCATTGTGATAGTGGATTAAATTAATTTTTTTGAGTGTTGAAAGTTTGTTGGTTTTGTGTAACGTACGGAATTTAACAAGAACGTTAGATACCTTGGTTGAATTGTGCAGTCGCACACAACAACCAAACAACATACAACTTTGTGGTGAGCAGCTGCTCTTTACCTTGTTCTCTTTCAACAGGTCAAACTTGGAAAATCGATTCACTATTTCGATCCTGGCTTGTTTTGCTCTCAAGACTTGTTGACTCATCAAATAACAACATGAAGTTGAGCAGTTGAAATTCCAATGAATCTACCGCCCAAGTTCTCGCCTTACTACAGCTTTCTTATTGCACGCTCACCCTACTACTAACATTACAGCAAAAAATCTTATTCAAATATTTTATTGATGATGAGGAATTTTATTATTATAAATCGAACCATAAGTTTCCATCTCCAATTCCTCTCCTCGTTGGGGCAATATATCTACCTCCTAGTGGCAAGATTGATAAAACCATTGACTGTACTTCTACAGGATCTTTTCTGTAGGAATACATAAACTCGACTTTTTTGAGTCAATCTGACCTTTGAGGTTAACCAAGATGAAGACTCTGTAGTCACATATCTTGAGCATGATATCGAACTGGAAACATGCTTCGCTGTAGGTTTCCTCGTTCATAGATGATTGCTGCATTCCTAACCAGCCATGGTTTGTGAATGGGGGATTTGTGAACATGCAGATTGGTACCTTAAACTTTTTATCAATTAAAAGAAAAAAATATTACAATTACGCCGTACACAACCTAATCTATAAAATTCTATTAAGATTGGAATCAACACTTTCCTTTTATTAATCAACATGGTGATTGTGTATTCAAAGCTAATCTCGAGCAGAATGAACAAGCACTACAACTAAACATTTAGTATCTTCATTGCACTGTATTGGAGTTAGGGTTTTATTTTGTCTTGGAAATAAACACTTGCCGCAGGTTTGTAGGTAAATCCTGTTCATGAAGAAGTTCAACTAAGAAAAAGTGAGAGCAAATATTTGAAGACTCAAATTCGAAATTTGAAGGTTTATTGATCAACCACAAGTTTCTCTTTCTAAATAGATAAAATTCAAAGGTGATAAATAAATGGTCACGTAGCAAGCTTTTCTAAACAACAAACTTACTGAACCAACAATCAATAGATTCGTTGCCTTCACTGTTCATACAGTCAAAGACTGTAGCGGGATAGTCGCCATATTCCTGGCAGGCTTCCCGTCTAAAATTACAAAATGAAAAACAATATTTATTGAAATAGAATCACACAGTCCCTTTTACTGCTTTCGGAGATTTTCAATATTCTTTATATTCATTGTATTAAGGTAATGAATGGCTACGGCCATATCACGATGAATACACCTCATCCCGTCCGATTTGAGAAGTTAAGCATCGTCGAGCCACATCAGTACTGAGGTTGGAGACAACTTGGGAACCTGTGGTGCTGTAGTCTTTTAACTTTTGAATCAATCATTGTAATTTTCTTATCCTTTGTTTTCATTCCTGAAATTAGAAACGACTTAGGATCATGCTTACTGGCATTTATTGTCTTATTGTTATGGACTGGAAACCTGGCAGTCTCAAAAGATGCCCTTTCTATGAATTATATTGTATCCACTCTCTTCATATTCCTCTAAGGTTATGCACATCGATTGGAAGGTTGATAATTTGGAGAAAATACTACCACCAATCCATGCAGTGTACTTTCTTTCTGGTGGTGCTGTTATTCGAATGTTCATTGAGGAGGGAGATAATTCCCTCAATTCATTATACAATCGTTCTACTATTCCATTGAACAATGTCGATCCTCCCGAAAGAAAAATATTCGAATACAATTCCTTTCTAATATCTAAATCAGACTTTCTAATAGAAGTGAAAATATTTTCATGAATTCCACCAACCTCCATTCCAACAAGATTTGGTTGAAATAATATCTCAGTAGTTTTGTATCTTTCTATTCCAAGTGAATTATATTTCCATCCGGTAATTCATAAGGAATTTCTGATATTGTTTCTTCCAAAAAGTTACTAGCAACACAACCAGTTTTTTCTTTCATATACCTTACTATTTCAGTTTCATGCTTTGTGGTGAAATTATATCCTCGTTCCATTAAGATTTTCCTCAAATAATCTGTCAGATCTTTACCTCCTAATTCAACTCTGATAGTGGCATGTGACAGTGCGTATCCTTCATAAATAGGCACTGAATTGGTAACACCATCGCCTGATTCCAACACTATACCTGTCATTCTACCACTTGCAAACATTGACATGGCACATTGATTTGCCAAACACAAACTTCTCACCCTAAAAGTTTCAAACATGCTTTGTGACATTTTCTCTTTAGTTTCCATTGGATTTAATGGAATTTCTAACAATAATACTTCATGATACTCTGGAGCAACTCTTAATTCAGAATTAAATATGTAATCCCATATCTTTTCCATTTGATCCCAGTCAGTAATCAATCCACGATCAATTGGATAATAGAACACATTTATACCTCTCCTGAGTCCAAATGTATTATCTCCAACGAACGTCTTGTCAATGTTATTCATTCCAACCATGAGGGTGGAAACTTTTTGTCGTCCAGTAACTGTGGGAAAGACTGCACATGGAGCATCATCATCAGATAAACCAGCTTTCATGAGAGAGGAACCATTATCAATGATGAGAGGTGGATTTTCAGTCATTTTTTTTGTAAACTGTGTGTTAATGGCTGGAACTTGAACACGAGTTCGTGATAGAAAAAAAGAGTTCCAAACTTTGGTGATTATCTCAATAAAAACAAAACACCAAAATTTGAAAATTGAAGCACATATATACTATAATGTCTAGAACATGTAGCTATTATGAAAAGTTCTAAAAAACTAAAACAGCATAAAATTTTAACTCGAACGCCGGGAATTGAACCCGGGTCGCCAGAGTGACAGTCTGGAATGCTACCACTATACCACGCCCGATTTCCACATGTTATAACTATTCCTTAATTGGTCTTATTAATATACTTATATAATGGTTTTTCTTACAACGGAATTGCCTGTACTAAATCAATAAACAAATTGATCAACAATCTCAAAAGAACAGATAACAGCGTTTCATGAAAGTTAAATTCCTTTTCTTGAGAGATTCAATGTTACACCAAATAAGAAAAAACGAAAAATTATGTAATTTCAAAAAGCATTTCGATCATAACTTTTTCCTATCACCTTCAACCCACTACAAATTAATTTTGCAAGAGTTTTGAAAATAGCGAACTTGGAACAATCTCAAAACCATAGAGAGCGGTCGACAATTTGTCGAGTGGATCCGCCCCTCCAGCGAAAATTCTATTGACCAAGCTAAAAAGCTATTTTTCACCCTAGATTTGTAGTGAATAAAAAGGCTAAAAGTGTGATCAGTCAAAAACAATCAAAAAAAAATGACACATTCCAAAAGAGAGGTTATTCATGTGAGAGTGGGTGAAGAATACTCTGACAAGGCTTCGACAATCTTACCAATTGTTGGGCACAAGATTCAATGTAATATTATCTATCCTATTGTACAAATAGTTTCGACCATGACTTTTAGAAATGAAGTTTCTAAGAGAGATTTAGGAGGTGAATTGATCATGCCACTTCCGGATGGTGCATCTGTTATTGGATTTGCAATGCAAGTGGATGGAGAATTGATTGATGCTGTACCTGTGGAGAAGGAGAGTTCAAAAAAGATATTCGAATCTGAAGTGAGATCTCACAAACAAGTTTCAATTGCCGAGAAGGTTGACAATTCTAATTGCTTCAAAACACGAGTTTATCCTCTCGTGTTTGGACAAGATAAGACCATTAGAGTCAAGTATCAAATCATCATGAAAGAAATTGTTGAAAATGGAAACAAATTATCCGCCTCTGCTTGGTTTCCACTTTCGTATCAAGAATTTAATCTTTTGAGAGATGCTAATGTTGAATTCATGTTTAATGAGAGTGCCATCCATGACTTCGATTCCAGTATTGTAATGAAAATGGAAAATGGAGAGAAGTTAATTAAGTCTGGTTCTAATTCAAACATTCAAAGATTGGAAAAAAGTGATTTGAGTAAAAGCTTAACAGGTTTCTCAATTGAGTTGGTAAGAAAGGTAAAGAGCACTGATAATATTTTGTTAGCTACTGAGAATGACTACTTTATGGTTTCACTTCCTGTTTCTGCAATTCCAGAAGAGTTAAAATTAGAGAGCATTGGAAATAAGGTTCAAATAATTTGGGATGTTTCGCTCAGTCAATCAGATCAACATGAGGAAAATGTAAATCTCTTGAAATTAATTCTCAATAGATTAGAAAATGGTCCTATTACCTTATCATTATTTAGTAATACCATAGTTGACCAACAAGAATTTAATTCAAAAGAATCTCTTTTACTATTTATTCAAAACAGCGTAGTCTATGATGGTGCCTCTAATATGAAGCTATTTGGAGAAGAATTGATCTGTAGCAACGTTGATTATTGTATTGCATTCACAAATGGAATTCACAACTTTGGTTTAGAGCTGACACCCAAATGCACTTTTGAGAAGCCAGTATTCTTTTTAAACACTTCTGCAATTACAAACAGTCAACTGTTGAAAAATATTGCAGTGAAATCGGGAGGAGCTTATTTGAATGCAAATGAAACTAGTATTGAAAAGATATTGGAAATAATTGGAAAGAATCAATTACTTTTTTTGGTAGCTGATTATGAGAGTTGTGATATGGAACAAGTTTATCCACACGAACCAGTTGGGGTAAAAGAAGGAGAAGTTTTCAACCTATTTGGTAAAATCAAAAATTTCAATAATCCAACAGTTTCAGTTGGTGTCACATTCAAATATGGATCCAAGATTATTCAAACACAGGAAATTAATATTCCAACTACTAGGGTACAAGTTTCCAAAGAATCTGCCATAGTTCCACATTTATGGGCTCAGGAAAAAATCCAATCTCTTTCCTCATTCTCCCATCTATTCATGGATGAAATTAGAAAAACTAGTCAAGAGTTCAGTATTGTCACTGAATCAACCTCTCTTCTCGTACTCGAATCAGTGAGTCAGTACATTAAATACAATATTGTTCCACCAGAGAGTCTGCCAAAGTGGAGAGAGTCCTTCTTTGAATCTCAAAAACGAAACGAGTCTTCCACAAAAAAACAGGAAAAGAAAAAACTAAAGCAATTTATCAAAAAATGGAAACTTCGTACTGATTGGCATAGAGTAAATTTTGACATGGCTACTCTTAAAAGAATTCAAAGCAAGAAAAAGAGAAGTTTGCTAGGAAGAACTCGATTTTCTCAAACCTCTGATGATAGAAGTTATGATATAAGTGATGATAGAAGAGAAAATGAAATTCCCACTAGTAGCAAACGTAAAAGGATTACAAGTACAACTGATTCATCATCCAGTCCAATAGAAGGTTCCATTACTATCACTCCTTGGACTCCAAATGCAACATATTACGAAGCTATCACCACAGCCCAAGATCCTTACATTGAATATTTAAACCAGAGAAAAGAATATAAGGACTCTCCTGCTTTCTACTTGGATGTGGCTGATTACTTTTTGACCAAACAAGGTAACAAAACTCTTGGAGTAAGAATTTTATCCAATATTGTTGAATTGGAATTGGAAAATGTACAATTATACAGAATTGTTGGATATAGATTGGATCAAGCTGATGAATTGGAATTAGCCGAATTGATATTCGAAAAGGTCAAGAAAATCAACTCTTTCGAACCTCAATCATTCAGAGATTTGGCTCTCATTAAGGAAAGATTAGGAAAGTATGAAGAAGCCATGCAATTATTCAATAAGGTAATTGTAGGAAAATGGGATGAACGTTTTTCTGAAATTGAACTCACAGTTGCATTGGAAATGAACCATCTCCTTCTCAAAGATCCAAATTTGCCAATAGTTGACCAAAGTTTGATTTATAATTTTGATCTCGATATCCGTATTAGTATGGCATGGGATACAGATATGGTAGATTTGGATCTACATGTTGAAGAACCAAAGCCCTATGGAGAACATGCCTACTATGGTCATCCCAATACAAGAATTAAAGGTCTGGTCTCTAGAGATTTCAGAGAGGGTTATGGACCTGAGGAATACATGATTAAGAAAGCCCAACCAGGTGATTACATTGCAACCACCAATTATTATTCGAATTATTCTCAGGGCTTGACAGGTGGTACAACCGTTTTGTGTACCTTCTTCCTCAATTATATGAGACCTAATGAGCAAAGATATACTTCAACTGTTAGAATTTCATCACACAAGGAAAATGTTCAAGTTTGCAAAATATCAATTGAATAATTCCAAGAAGGAGATTAAATTCCATCATCAAATTATTGAACTGTTGCTGTTTTTATAAATCTTCGTCCCTGTACAGAGTTTCATATGTTGTAAAATTTCGATATCTTGGTATGGATCTTATTTTTGTATAAATGACCATGTCCTCCTGATCTTGTGGACTGAGTTTGTGAATTAAATTGAGAGCTGTATGATATAGTTTTGCAAGATTTTCCCTATTTTCCACTTTCCAACAAGTATCTTTCGAATAAATATCTTTATCCAATTCAGAATATTGATAATTTTGATAGAATGTTTTACAATACTCTACGAATGGAATATGTTCACCATTGTAATTGATACAATGCACGTTTTCCAACAAAGTTTGGAAGGCATTAAAACAACCAACATTCCATGTTCTTTCTTCTGGATTCCAATCATTATATTTTTCACAAATTTTCACAAGACATTCAATATTGAGTGAGTGAGTGATGAATTTTCCCAAAATAGTAATGGCATCAATAGCCTCAAACCAATTAAATTCAAATTCTGCAAATAATGACGCTATAAATTTGTTAAGATACTCATCATAGTATGAATCAGGCCTATTTCCTCCATCTAATTCATTCAATTTGTGAATTAGTTGTACAAGATTAAATTTTGGATATTTGTCAAAGTAATTATTGAAATAATGTGTCATGGCACCATATGGTTTTGTGAGGAAAGTATTCACAAAGTTGTGAGCTATACCTCGATGATCTAGGACACATTCATATGGATCAAAATCTGGCATAATTTCAATAAATTTCATCACTTCCTTCTCTCTGAATTGATACTTGTGAAGAAGGAGTTTCATATCAAATTGATCAATCAGTTCACATTTAAACAGCACATGCAAAAAATCAAATCCATGTGAAAATATATTACAAAACCTGGGAGCCATATAAAGTTCAATTTTTTTCAATTCTGCAATTTTACAAAACTCTACAAATTCTTCCACATTTCCAATTTTCTTTTCAGAGAGCAGTTCCAATCGATTACTCTTGACAGAGTTTTCCAATATTTGATTCCAATTGCCAGGATACAGAATCTCTACACACTCCCTTAAATATTCAAATCCTAGAATGTTTGTGACCTTGAAATTCATAACAATTCCAGAAAGTTGTGGAGTGAGATTGTATCCATTCTGATCTTTGAAATTTAAAATATAATTCTTAATAGCTTCCAATTTCTCTCTCTCATCAAATTGAAACAATAGCTTTGGTAGAAGACGATCATTTAGAGTTGGCCTGAAATTATTCAACATTTTACAAATATCGAATTGCTTTCTTTGAACACAGAAATTTAAAAGAGAAGGAGAGAATCTATTCCAATACTCTGATTCTTCCAGTGTGAGTTCTTGTTTGTTGATTGGCTTGTTGAGAATAAACTTTTTTGCCTGATCGAGGTGGAATTGAGCAAACACATTCGAATGTTGAAATTCCAATATATTTTCCCCTAAATTTTTCATTACCAACACTCCAAATCCATTCATCATATTCACACGAAACACTGAATACAGCGCAGAACGGACTAATTTCTTATATTCTTCTCCATTATTCATTATTGATTGATCATTATTCGAATCATTTCCCATAAAATTAATTTTCACTTGTTTTTCATTCTCAATGTTTTGTTTGTATAGTTTCCGAAGGCAAGTTAATGTCTTTTCACAATATTTCTCATCACTCTTTCCAATATTCTTTTTCAGATTAGAATAGTCATGAATTTTAATTTTCAACCAATTCGAAAGTAATGTTTTCCACACAATTTCATATCGATCCAATTCATGCCACGATCTTGAAACAGAGAGAATAGAAACACCATCTCGAATATTAACAAATTCCAAGATGCAATATAAAGTGTCATGATACAATTGACTCATTTTTTGACAACCAAGATCAATTTCACAATTACAACACTTTAAGAAATTAGAGTGTCAAGGAATATATTTAACTTTTAACATAATTGTAAAAATATTGTAAACAAGTTCGAAGCTTCCAATTAAACATCTCGAATGGTAACCCCTTAAAAACTAAACATTCTCTTTTCATCCACATTACCTCTGCGGCCTCTTTTTCATTGTTTTTTCGCTGATTTTCTTTCACAATGCCAAAAAAAAATTGTCAACACGAACAGTTACTACTTGAATATTCAAGAAAATGATGTTGCTCAAAGGTTGTACTTGGAAGAGTACCTCACCACATGCACACGGTTGCATGTTCATTGTGTTGTGTTGTTTCATGATTATCATAATGATGATGCATGGAACAGTAAGTGCTTCCTGGAATGAACGAGATGCCACTCGATTGAGAAATAGATTTGTTGCCAATATGACTCGACATCATGCTGAATTTATTGGAAAGTTTCCAGAGGTAAATAGGGTGGATGTAAGCTCCTTTCCAATCATTCTTGATGAGAGATCTAATCAGATATTAAGTGTCTATTGGAATTTAGTGGATCATTCGGAGAGATTAATTGCATTTGATGTTTTGAGTGGTGGGAAAACAATGGTTTCGTCTTTTGAATTTCCAAAGAATTTCTCAAGATTGAATGAGAATAGATCAATTATGGATAATGAAAGAAGTTTCATGTACCTGCCAAGAATTTGGAATCATAAGATTTGGTACGTTTTGAAAATTGACACTTCCAAAAATTATGAAACATTTGGAAAGGCTGTTGTAATGACAGGTACTGCATCTGAAACTGAAATTGTCGATTTAGCCATTGATAACAAATCGATTCTCTATGTTTCGTATAAGGACAAAATCTCAGCTTTCAATATGAGTTCACCTTATTTAAATGGTCAACTCATGTGGACTGTTTTCAATTACGATCAAAACACAATCGAGTTTGGAAATATTCTCTTATCAAGTTCTTCAATTTTCGTTTCGAATATTCAAAGATCTCCAAGTCAAATTAATCCATTCCATGTAGGTCTCATTGAAATCAATAGAATGGGAGTAGTCGTTCATAGAACTGCCTTTAATCCATCTTTGGCTACTAAAACTCCATCATTACCTAATCATATAGTCAACTTGGATGATGGCTATATTTTGACAAGTCATCAATCAAGTAATATTTCAACTCATTTGACACTCTATCATGAGAGTGATATTTCCCATCCAGTTTCACAATTCGATTTGAGAATGCCAAAATATTTGAATAATGTTAAAAGATTTGAGTGCTCTAACATTTTGGCATTTACTGAATCGAATGATGATGACAATAGTTTCTCCATTCTTTGTACTCTATCTGAAACTGAAATTCTTGTTAAAACTGTCACTGTTTTATTTAAATTTGCCTTAATTGACAAGGGAAGTGCCTCTACAAGAATTCAAATTACAGAAGAAAGTATATACGATTCTCCTCGTTTCTATCTTTGTAATACTCAATTGGTTACATTAAATCATGGAGGTGGAGGTGATGATAATGGAGATAATTTCAATGGAGATTATTTTGGTTTCGTATGTGATAATCATGTTATAATTTATTCACAGAGTGGAGTTGGAGAAGCTGCAAGTAGAATTATATTAGATTCGAATATAAGTGCTTTCAGGGATATGATTGGAGCTGCCAATGGAATGTTTTATTTAATGACGGATTTATATCTTCAAAGTTTGAGGCATAATATTGAATAGTTTATTTTAGAATAGCTCACAAACCTTCCAAAATCAAAGAATAACCATTCCTTCAAATATTTTATCCTAAACAATCTGAATTTTCACACACAAGATATCAATTTCAAAGATGATTACAAAAAAATGCATCAAAATGTTTCAACAAAACACACCTTTAAAATATTCCTCCTATTATTAACGATCATATTTCTATCTATTTGTTTTCTTTTATTAATTACAAAAATACCTTCATCTTCTCCATCATCATCATCATTTACACATCATGATAATGATCATTCAAATGATGTCATCATTCCGATGATGAATATTAATCAATGGAAAAAGCCTTCATCATCTTCGATTAATAAAATAATTAAACCTACTGTATCATCATCATCATTGGAATCATCATTTAAAAAATTATCATCATCATCATTGGAATCGAATAAGCAAATTAATGAAATTTCAATAGAAAAAAAGAAGGTAAATAAACAACAACAGCAACAGACACTACCATCAGAGAGTTGGGCACCTATTCAAATTGATCAATGTCTGAATGGAATGCATGAACATTCAGCACCTTGTTTACATAAACACTACCTAATGAAAAATAATCAAACTAATAATTATACTAATTTGGAAAGGGGAATTGAATTAATTTATCATTCATTTAAAATTAAAGCTCCAAAGTTTTATAATAATGAACAGAAAATGGAATGGATGGAAAAATCAAAGAGAATTAAAATGATGAAATGGGCACCTGATTTGGAATGGGCAATTTATTTTTCCACAAATGGGCAAATATTGGTGTTTAATAATGTGTATATTGATGCAATTATTGATAGTGATAAATGGTCAGCAGGTTCATGTATGGGTGATTCACATTCACATTTACCATTTTTTAAAACGAAACCTTCCATGAAAACCTTTATTAGAAAGTATAATCATTTGCCAAATAATTTAAGTTATCTCAAAAATCCTAATGTTAAAGTGACTACTGGGCCTAATGATGTAAAAACTGTGGAAATACAATTAGAAGAGGATTATGAACGTTTGGATACAGTAATATTATGCACATCACCTGATTCGTATAGTTTTCAACATTTTCTTGATAGAGTAACTGTAACTTGGAGTCAAGCTATGATTTATCAACAAGATGAGTCATCTCCTAATGGATCAACATCTATTTTATCAGGATTGCAATCATACAATCCAGTAATCAAACAATTTTATTCATTTATGGTTGACAAACATTATCATCAACAATCTATACATGCTAAAAAGTTAATCTATTCATGTAGAAGTCCACTCGTTCATCCATTCACTACCCAACGTGTTTATGATGAAATGTTACGTAAATTGAATGCGAAATTTACAATTCCATTCGAAAAGAGAAGAAAGATAGTTTACTTTACAAGACAAGATGCTGATACAGTTAATATTGGAAGAAGAATAATTAATGAAACACTTTTAATCGATTATTTGAATAAGGAATTGAAAAAACGGGGAAGAAATGAAGAATTAATCATATTCGAAAGCTATGATTATCCAAATTTACAAAGTCTATTCAAACTTTTTAATGATACCAAATTAATATTTGGTCCTCACGGTGCTACATTTTATAATTCAAGATTTGCACCAAAACAATTAGCAGTTTTAGAAATTCTACCAAGTGGTGGATTTTATTACAATGGATTTTGGGAACAAGCAAGTTTATTAGAACAAACCTATGGAGTTTATTATGCTGATAAAGTAAATAAGAAGAATGACATGATTATTAATGATATTCCTAATTTTACAAAATATTTATTTGATTTAATTGAGGAAGCTCAGCAACGAAAACCTAAAGATGTTTTACAAAAGTATTATTCGTGGAATGTTAATGTGTAATTGATTATTAATAATATGGATGTAATATTCTGGAATGACTCATTGAATTTGAAAGATTATATATTGTTAAATCTATCAGTTTAGAAAACGAATTAATCACAATTTGAATATGAGATTATTCTACTTTCGGAAATATTCGGCCAAAAAGAATAAGATAATTCCACTTTAAAATTTTTGAAAATTCCATATAAATCTTCATTAAGCTACAAAAATATCAAAACAATCATTAACTATTAAATTAAATAATACTATTAAATAATATTTAAAAAATTACAATAAAAAAAAATGTACACCAAAAATCGAAAATTAGCCAAGAGAGACACACCCAGCAAACCCATTGAAGATTACTTTCCCAATTCCTCTCCAGAAATTACCACTCTCTCCTCCGATGATGATTCCGATGATTCTGCTGCTGAAACTCTTAATAAGAATCAAAACAACACAAAACAAATTGTTAATAATCATCAACAAACAATTGAATCGAAAAAGCAAAAAGGTATTCAAAAGATTACAAGTGCTAGTATTGCCACTTCATTTGCTCATTCATCGGTGAGATTGTTAAAGAAGAAGAAACTGAATCCTCCCTCATCACCTCAACCTATTATTAATAATAATACTAATGATGAGAATAATTTAATTTCATCGTCATCTTCATCTAATAGTACTGCTACTACTACTACTACTTCTTCAATAATACCTTCGGAATCGACAAGTGTAATATCACCACCAATTATTAATATGGATGATCATCATGTATCTAGTTCACTCTCTGATAGAAGTTCTACGGAGGAAAAAAGTAATAATTCAAATTCATTGAATAATTCTCAATTAGCTAGTTCTGAATTAATTAAAATTGGAAATGAAATTAAGCATTCAATAGATGCATCCTTATCACAAGCAGTTGGAGGAGTGGAATGTGTATCAAATATTATAGTATTGGATGTGAATAATTCCGATCATAATGAGCCAATAACACCATCCTCATCATCGATATTATCATCACAAATAGAGGAACAACCAAAACAAGTGAATGATTCATTATTAATGATGAATTCAAGTCAAGCAACAAGTATGGGAAGACAAGTAATGAAAATGGAAGAGGATGAATTGATGAAAATATCAAGGATTGAGGGAAATCAACATTTAAATGATACAAGTACATTATCAGAAAGACAAGGAATCCAAGATGAGATACAGCATTCACCACCTATTGCCTTCTTTGTCACATTCAGAGATGAAACTGTGATGATTTATCATAGTGTTCATTTGATGAATTGTGATCCTTCTCTATTAATTGCAAAAATTAGATTGAAAATTACAGATCTACCAACAAGAGACTTTAGTGTGAAATATTGGGATGATTTTGTGGGAGGATTTGTGAGATTTGATCACGATGTGCTGACCTATATTGTGAGAGCAAATTTAACAAGGGTAAAATTACTAATTTCTTCAAATCAAAAATAATTGTACTATATTCACTCCTCCACTAACTTGCAAAATTTAAATTTAACTAGGACAATAACTTCCCAAATAGCTCAATAAATAAATCTAACTTTAATTTACAACAATTAATTAAGTTTTGATGATGGCTTAATTGGAGCTTCAGTGACATTGACATGAGTTGGTTCTTCAACACCACTGATTTCCTTTAACCTCAATAAGGCTTGTTCCTTTGAAAGAGCTGGAGTTTGGTTCTTTGTCTTGTTGAAAATTTGATCAAAAATGGTGACAGCTTGTGTAACTTGTCCAGAAATATCATTGACATTGTTTGGAATAATGACAGTGTTACCAGCCTTTGCTAAATGACCAAATTGTTCAATATATTGTTCAGCAATCTTTAAAGCAACAGCCTTTTCACCATTCTCATTACTGATAGCAGCTGCCAATCTTTCAATAGCTTCAGCATAAGCTTCAGCATTAGCCTTGATAGCAAAAGCTCTACCTCTAGCAATATTTTGTTCTTCAATCATGTTAGCTTCAGAAATCAATTCTACAGCAGTCTTTCTACCCTTAGCAACGTTTTCTTGAGCTTCCTTTTCAGCCAATGAATCAAGAACAGTCTTTCTCTTCTTACGTTCAGCTTCAGCTTCAAGATCCATCGCTTGTTTAATTTGAGTTGGTACTTGAATATCTCTGATTTCATATCTTTGAATACTAATACCCCATCCAGAAGCAATCTTTTCAATACCTTGAACAATCTTTTCATTCAAATGTTGTCTCTCAGCAAAAGTATTATCAAGTGTAATTTTACCAATTTCACTTCTCATTGTAGTTTGAGCCAAATTCATAATGGCAACGAATGGCTTTTCAATTTCATAACTGGCCTTATAGGCATCAGTAATTCTTGTATACAAGACACCATCCAAAGAGAGTTGAACGTTATCCTTTGTAATGGCTGTTTGTTTGTTAACTTCCAATATAATTTCCTTTGTTGTGTGTTTATAGGAGACAGTATCTAAGAATGGGAGTAAAAAGTGAATACCACTGTCCAATGTTTTACAGAAACGTCCAAAACGTTCAACAACCCATTGTTCACCGTGTGGTACAATAATAATTGGCTATTTTGTATAATTATTGATGATGATGATTTGATCATTAAATTCATTCATGCAAATTATAAAATTTAATTCCATAATATATAAAGTGTTATTTGATGTTAATGAATTGATGAATTAGTAGGATTTTGTATATAAAAAGATACAAATTAATTCCATATTAATATTAATTAAATAATATTTAAATATTGATTAAAATTTGATCAATCAGAGTACACTTACACTCAAAAGAGTTGTTCTCAATCTTTCGGAATAACTTTCACTACCAGAAATTTGAAGACCAGGAATGGTTCCATGAGTAGAAATATTTCCTCCCACAGTAAATTCACTCTTTGTAGGATTTGAATTAAATTGATAGGATCTAACAATCAATGAACACAACAATTGATTTTGAAGCTTGTTCAATTGTGATGTCTTTCTCAATCTATTAACACTTTGTACGGAACGCTTTAACATTTTTTTAATCTTATTGTTGATGATGCTGATGGAATTGCAAAAGCTATTTTTGTTCAATCAAAGTTTTCCAGTAAATTGCTTGTATATACTACATGTTTTTGATTTATTAATACATGATGATTGTTTTATCAATTTTCTAAAACTAATGTTGAATGGGATCTAGTAAAATAATGATACAATAACTAATCGTCATCTTCTTCTCCTAACGGAAAGAAAATAGTTGTTGGATGACACAACACACAGTAATGAATCAACACAACTCTTCAGAGAGAAAAAAACAACATCACAAACAATAACTTCTCAAACTCTAAAAATGATACAATCAATGGTTGGAAATGTTTTTCAACAGCCGAGAAAGTGGGTTCTCCTGCTTGTGTCTGCCATTGCCATCGTCATAGTCATTCGTTTATTATTCGATCAACATTCTTCGGGAGGAAATAATAGTATTGCCAATACACACTTTTTTAGAAAATTAAAGAAGAGTAAAGAACCATCACAAGCCTATGCTGTAATGATTACAGGTGGAGCTGGATTTATTGGTTCACATATTGCTGAACATTTTATTAAGAATGAACCATTATGTCAAAGAATTGTAATTTATGATAATTTACATTCAACAGCACAATCAACAGGAAATCCAAATGTTGAAACAAATTCAAATTTAGAAATGTTATATTCAATTGATTCAACAAAAAAGATCGTTTTTGTAAAGGCTTCTATTATGGATAGACAAAAATTAAGAGAAACTCTCCAAGCTTACCAAATTAGATTTATTTATCATTTGGCTGCCCTTATTTCTGTACCGGAATCAATGTCCAATCCAAAGATTTATTTTGATATTAACACTATTGGAACTGATATTGTATTGGATGAAGCTAGAGCAACAGGACATGTTAAAAAGGTCGTTCTTAGTAGTTCTGCAGCTATTTATGGTTTTGATCCAACTGTTCCAAAGATGGAAAATATGAATCCAAGTTGTGAATCTCCATATGCTCAAAGCAAGTATGATGGTGAATTTTTGTGTAAATTCCACAGTCAACAAGCTTTGGAAAATTCCAAAGATGGAGAACCAATGGTTGCCATTGCTCTTCGTTATTTCAATGTTTTTGGTGAAAGACAAGATCCAAACAGTCAGTATGCAGCTGCTATTCCACGTTTCATTGATAGAGCTTGTAAGCAAAATGAAGCTATTGAAGTTTTTGGAGATGGAAGACAAACTCGTGACTTTGTCTATGTTAAGGACGTTGTTTGGGCCAATGTTTATGCATCATTCTATATTGGAGAATTTGGAGTTTTCAATGTTGGATATGGATCATACATTACAATTAATCAATTGGCTGATTTAGTTGAATCAGAATGTTCTAAACTTTCAGGTAAACCAGCAAAGAAGAGAATTTACAAACCAAAGAGAGCTGGAGATGTCAGTGCATCAATGGCATCAGTTAGAAGATTGACCAACAATGGTTGGACTCCAAAGTACAACTTTAAGGAATCTGCCATTCAAACCATTCAATATTTCTATCAGCAAGGAAAACAAAATTAATATCTTGTTAATTTTTCATAATTAATTTAGTGAATATTTAATTCAAACATTTAGAAAATAATAAAAACAATAGTTATTACCAATTTACTTAGTAATATCAATATTATTTAATGAAGGTGGAGAAATAATATATTAAAAAAATGAAAAGACTTAGAAAAGGGCAAGCACCATCAATAGCCAACAACAATTCCGATTCGGATGATGATGGTGGTGTATTTGCATCATCAACTAAAAACAATCAAAAGCAATTTACTCCACAACAAGTTTCTAAAGCAATTAGTAATATAACAACAAAACAACAACAACCTATTGCTGCTATTAAACCTAATACAACAACGAGAGTCATTTCAAAGAATAATAATGAGGAGAGAAGATTTGAATCGGAATCATCTTCATCAGATGAAGAAGATAGTGATATGGAAGATAGAAGAGCAAGACTCAGAGCTCGTCTTCTTTCCAAACAAAAAGAGGATGCTAGTTTAAATTCATTGGATGCCATGCTTCTTGGAGGAGCTTCTAGTACACATTCAATGAATTCATCCCAAGTGGTGAAATCTGAAAAAGATGTGTCAGCTCCTCTAATTCAAGAAGCCAAGAATAAGGAAAGGATGAATGAAAGTAGTGATGATGAAGATTTGGAAATTGATAGAAAAAAACTAAAGGTTGTGAAAAAGGAAGATCAATCACCTGTGAAATCATCAACTATTCAACAATCAACTCATCAAAATATTCCTTCCAATAATCAACAACACTCCATTACTACCCAACATCACCACAAAATAGAGAGTAGTGATAGCTCCAGTAGTAGCAGTGAAGAGGAAGATATTAGGCCAGTTTTCATTTCTAAAAATAGGAGGTCAACTATTAAGACTGATCAAGAATTGGAGGAAGAAGAAAATCGACAATTAGAATTGGAAAGAAAGAGACAAGAACAAAAACGTGAAAAGAGTGTCAAGCTCTTGGATAAAGAATTGGAAAATGAAGCTAACAGAAAGAAGGCTGTCAAGATTGATGAAGATATTTTGAGTGTGAATGATTCTGATGATATTGATCCAAATGGCGAAATGATGGCCTGGATTGAAAGAGAAATGAAACGTCTCTCGCTCATTAAACAAACCAGAGACGAATCTGATAAGGAATTACAAAGGAGAGCAAACAATTCCTCTTTCAAGGATAGTGCAGATAAGGAGGGTAAATCAAATTCTCAAAACACTGAAAAGCCAAAATTCAAAACAGGACAAAGATACTACCACAAGGGTGCCTTCTTTATGGATGATGAGGAAATTGCTGAGAAGGCAGCCCAAGTTGCTCATGCACCGACCGGTAAGGATCATATCAATTATGACCTACTGCCAAAATATTATCAAACAAAAAATCCTGGAAGAGCTCGTCAACCTAAGTATACCAATCTCAAAGATCAAGACACTACAGACTTTTCTTCACCATTCTACAATTCAGATAGAAAGAATAGAGAAAAGAAGTAATAAGTGTTCAATGTGAGCTTGCTCAAAGCATGATATTCACTGTCCTAAGCAATCTGTTGGAATCCTTCTGTTGCCTACCTTCTGCTGACAAAGCAAAAGAAGTGAGGCAAATATTTGATTAGTTTCGAATAAAGAACCACGAATTCAGAGGTATAGATGACAAGTAAAGTAATTTATTCATCACTGTTTAATTTCTTAATTTTAGCTGTTGGTGAGAATGTCTCTGTATCATCTTCCTTCTAACAAGTCATCTTCCTCCTCTCTGTATCGTTTCAAAGTGGAGCCAAACTCATCTTCCCATGAATTGAGAATGAAAAGGTCAGCATCTTGCAATTCTTTATAAAGTCTGAGGAGTGACCAATCTAATTTGAGTCTATCGGATGCAAAATCCAGACTTGATGGATTGTTCATTATAGCTGCCTTGACTATTTCGTAATCATCCTGCAAATCTTCATCTGCCTCACTCAGTGTCGATCCACAATTTGACACAGCAATCATTACAACTTCTGAATCAGACTTGAATTCATCTGCTGCAAATTGCAAATTTCCTCCAAAACCTGCTACTGCACAAAGTGTCACCTCTCTATCACGAACGTGGAGCATATTTTCCTCTTTGAACAAATAAGGGCATCTTTTAATTGCCATAATAGCAATTTCCTTAGTAACCCATTGTGGCTCAACAAAAGAGAAGGCAAATACGCATTGATTGAGAGCAGTTGTTACAATTTCCTCGTTTTGAATAAGGGCAAATTCTAATGCAAGACCATTCTCAGAAACTGCCTTGAGAACAAAATCTGGTCTACCTCTCAATCGATTATCGGCAAATTCCAAAGCCACTCCACAATTTGAAACTGCTGCCATTACAATTTCCTCATCATCTTGTAATTCTCCAGAGGCATACCCCAGTGCCATTCCATAATTACTCACAGCAGCCAATACTATTTCTCTGTCCTCTCCAAATTGTTGCTCTTCATGAATATGAGCCAGAACCTCTCCATTCTCTCTCACACGATCCAATATGAAATTACTATCATATTTAGTGAATTGAATAGCTTGTGGATCTTGTTTGATTGCATCCAGTATAATTTCATCATCAACAAGTTCCTTATTGGCAAAATTCAGAGATGTTCCACAATTTCTCACAGCACTTTGAATCATTTCTCTTGTTTGATCTTCATCCTCAATTAAACCAAGAATATTTCCTTCATATTTTACCAATTCTTCACATTGTTCGATTGTGAAATCGTCGAGACGAATTATTTCGTCCACATCACCAGCATATTGAATGGCTATTTTAGTCAAATCAAATATTTCATCCTCAGACAGATTATTAAACTGGTATAAATAATGTTGGGAGAATGGACTAATTTTTAAAACCTCTTCAATTATTTCCTTTCTAAAATTTGACCCAACGTCATTTGTCAAAATTCCACAATGGAGAGCCACCTTATTTCGAACATGTTCATCTGTAATTAGGTAAGAACAACGGTCATCAAATGGATTATCATCAAAAGCCAAGTTAGCAATCTCATTATTTACCATGTCTCCGCTTATATAATCAAATGCCAGTCCATTGCTTTTGACAGCTTGTCTACAAATTTCCAAATCTGAATCAAAACCAGCTTTAATTGCCAAACCATCCTCTTGAACTGCTGTCATCATCAAATCTCTTGATAAATGTCCTTCATTAATGCTTAATATTAACATTCCATTCTGTTGAACAGCTCTCTTAATGAAATTAAAATCATCTTTCAATCTATCACTTGCCCAAAAATACAATCTACCATCAAAATCAACATATTTTGACATGACTTGTTCATCATCCAATAACTCTTTTCGAAACTCATCTTCTACTTGACTCAACAATATACGGAGAGTGCGTAAATGATAACCACCCAGTAATAATGCATCTGTTCGAAGTCGGAGGAAAGTACTTTTGCGTGATTGAGTTTGCATCATGAATTGTCGGAAGAGATGAAGGTGATTGCATGTGAGTGTTGGATGGAAATCCACAAGATGCACAGTTGTGGCAATGCTTGACATTTTTTTTGGGTTTTTTTTGGACATTGTTATTGGATGTTCACACAATACATAATTTACAACTTCCCTTCAAATGTATTAATATTATCATTTCAAGGAAATTGACAAAAATTGTTTTAATTCAATAAGAATGCAAACAAGTTAATTAAAAATAGGAGGACATTGAAATTTCTTGAGAATAGGTTCTCATTAAGATTGCCATCAATAACCTGTAGCCGGATCTGACACCAATTTAATATTGTCGATGTGAATGGTAAGTAATTGCTTTGAGATGTGTATATTGAATGATCAAAATATCGTACAACAATGCATGAAGTGTCAACTTATGCTTGGTTTTACACAACAGGCACATATGCACAATTCGTATTTAATTCTCTTCCTCAGTAATCGTAACACTCACCTCATTACAGGAACAATACTATTTACGACAAACACTTTACGTTGTAATGGAGGGCACTCGATTTACAGTTGTAAACTCTGTCTTTAAAAGTGCATAAATGCGTTCGTTGACAAACTGCCTGCAGGCACAAAGGATGCAAAAGGTTTAAAAAGCCAGAGAACAAAATAATTTTGAATATATTGAAAACAAAACAAATACTTCAACAACTTCAACATGAAAGCTTCCTTACTATTTTTGCTTGCCTTAACAGCAACCTTAATGATTAGCGAATTTATTGTGTGTGATGTTAATTTTGGAGCTGGCAAAAGGTACTTTACGTTTGGAGGGGATTATAAATCTATTTCATCAGTTCCTTTTCAAAGTAATATGAAGGCTAACTTGACCATAGTTCAACCCCTTTTATTTGCAACATTTTGGTTCTTAGAAATGGAGAAACCTTCAAGACCATTCAAGTTACAGATAAATTACTCGAATTAGAATTAATTCCTGACAAAGATGGAGACATTTTCACACTTCAGAGAAAAGACCTATTAGATATTTGCTCCACTGTTATTACTATGGAATTTAAGGACAAATCTTCAACTGATTTACCTTCCTCCATCAACAATCTAGTTGCAACATCTAGAACTAACGACATTCCTAGCTCTGGTTCCTATAAAATGCTTGTTCCAAAGGGAATGAAATATACTGGAACTGTTCATGTTGCTGCAGGTGGCAAACTAAAGATCAAGACATCTGAGGGAAACTTCTTTACTTTCGAAGTGGGATTGTTAAGTCTTTTGGGCCAAGACAAACCAGTTTCCTTGGTAGCTCCTTCAAATATTGATGAATTATTCACAATCACATTAACCTCTGAAACTTCCAAATGCTATTTGGATGGCTATTTGGAATCAACCACTAGTTCAGATACTCCTTCAAGAAATGTTAAGGAAGCAACTCCACCAGATGCAACAGGAATTGCCATTGGTGTCATTATTGGTATTATTGCTTGTTGTTGTTTATCATGCATTGCAATTGCAGCTTTGGTAATCTATACAACAAAGAGAGGAAATAAGGGAGGACCAAGTGGTGGTATCACTGTTGTTACAACTGGTGCTACAGGAACAACTGTTGTAAATGTATAAAATTAATAACAAACAGTGAAAAGATTATTAATAAAATCTCCTAAACTTTATCAAATTTCTTCAGAAGGAATGAAAATCTTGTCAAATCTTTTGTGAACATTTACAACCATGACAATTGAGATGGCAACCTGGAAGTTGAACCTTGAAATCTATTTTTAACTGTTCGTAAATAACAGGAAATGAATTCAATTTCAAACAAGAAAAAAACCAACAAAACAATCATGATCAATGGATTTAGCAACAAGGACGACCAAAATATCATAGAAGTAGCAGAATTGGTTACCTTGAAGATGAGCAAATCAAGTGAGGAAATTCTCTTTGAAGATTTTAATGATCAAACAAATTGTAGCACCTACTCATCATTGAGTAATAATAGCAATAGTACCAATACAAGTGAATGGGGTGATGTTATGGATTTAGAAGAAGAATTGTTCAATGCTTCTGAAGATTTTGAATATCAAGTTATCAAGTTTGAATATCCATTCAATGCTGAATATGAAGATATTTTCAATAATCAATTGGAAGAATTGATTGATGAAGATGAAGAAGGCTTTGAAGAAGCAGAAGAAGAAGAATACAACAATAATTTATATGAAGAATACTTTGAAGAATATGAATACAATCATTGTTTGGGAGGAATGAAGTTTAAACACTTGGCCAATATGAAGAAAGTCAAGCAAAAGTTTAAGAGAATGAGAATTAATCCAAAGAGAAGAATTCATCACAGAGAATTGAAAAAGCAACAAGAAGAAGTAATTGAAAAGAGAGAGAAAGTTTCCTCAAAGATTTACACTCCACCACCTATTAGATATGCAGATAATAATTATTCGAATAACAATAATAACAGACATCATCAACACGGAAGCAATTCGGATGAAGAAGCTCAATTACAACAAGCCATTTCTCACTCACTCACTGATCATCATGTCAATGACTATGCTAGAGAATGTGGTATCGAATATAATTTATTGCTTGCCCTTACTCAAAGAGAATTAACTGCTGAAGATTATGATCTTCTTTTACAATTAGATAATACTGTTAAGAAAAAGACAGTTTCAGAAAATATTTTGGATTCATTGCCATGTTGTACATTAAATCATTTTGGAGAAGTATGTCAATCAGATATGCCACAAATTACTGAGGGTGACATGTGTATTACTTGTATGTGTGACTTTGAAGAGGGAGATGAAGTGAGATGGATTACAAAGTGTGCCCATATTTTCCATAAGAATTGCATTGATAATTGGTTGAATAATCACTCTACTTGTTGTCCAATTTGTCGTGTTGAAGTAAACTCGTGAATGGCTATTTGTATTATTATAGATATTGTTTGAATCTTTTGCATCCTTAAATCGTCCTGAATAATGGAATAATGATAGCAAATCATTTATTTATGTAAATCTATTTTCTATTAATACTGTGCTGAGCCTAGTTTGATGATTCCAATTTAAGAATGAATCACAAAATTAGAGAAGAGGCTTCAAACCTAAGCTTATCCTCAATTTGTTTGTTTCCTCAATGGATAGAGAATTATCTCCTGATTTTTCAGAGGATTCTTCTTGATTAGTACTCGATGAGCTACTGGTTGCTGAGGTTGATTTCTTCTTTAAATTTAATTTAAATCCAGATCCAGATTTCTTCTTGGTAGTAGTCGATGGTTTGGCACTTTCTATAGGGTTCATCTCAGCAGTCTCTTCAGGTTCTTGTTGTGGATCTTCCTTTCTATTCTTCATTTCAACAATTGCCTTATACTCTTCATTAGTTTCAAGTGCAGAAACATATGGACCCAATTTACCATTCTTTTCCAATACCTTTCTACTCAGCAGGAATGGCAATTTAACATCACAAAATGAATCACTCGTAAGTAACATTTCAATAAATTCATCCATATGCAAAATTTTACAAGAACCATCAATGAGTCTTAATCTCAACTTTCTATAATCTGAATATAGCGGTTCCAATTGCTCATAAACATCTACAGCATTTCCAACCAATCTCAAATAGAGAGCTCCCAAAGCTGTCAAGTATTTAAACTCTCCATTATGAATATATGCAACAGTCGACTCCAAATCCACTTCAATTTGTAACATTTTCATTAAAAGAGAGAGAAAATTTGTTGGTTTTCTCAACCCTCCAAAAGTTCCTCCAATAGAATCCAAATTTTCTGCTTTATCAATTACTGTAGCAGCATTCAAACCAAAGCATTCTTCCTTATAATAAATAGAGTTGAAAATCTTATTTCTCGTAATTTGTTCAATTAAATTCTGAGAATTAGTAGAGTGTACAGTATTAAATTCTTGTGATTGTTCTTCGGGAGCTTGCTGATGTTCCAGTGGATTTCTCTTCTTACTGTGATAAGCCTTTACTAATTCTTCCATTTCTGCTTGATCCATAAATCGATCCTCTTCCTCTCCTTGTTCTTCATCCTCTTCATCATTCATTCCGAAGGATTGTTGTTCCTCAGTGTCATCATTTTGTTGTATAATTTCATCATCGTGCATCATTCTAGAATTTTCTTCATCGGCTTCCTCTCTTTGGTATTCTTCTTCTTCCACTGGCTGATTATCTTCCTCCTCTGAAGCTGGTAAATATTCCTCCTCCGTTTCATGTTGTTCCATTTTTTAATTTAAAGTATTTAATTATTAATAATTGTAATTAATAATTTGTAACACATTCAATAAGATTCTCCATAATATGTATAGCAAGCACATTGGTGTATGATTAAACAATAGATTTTAATACATCATGATTTATTTTACAAAGTCACCTCAATTATTATTTCTTGGTTCTCGTTTCAAACTAACTTGATATAATTCATCAAAACCTTTCGATTGATTGAGGTATTGATCTAAACGGAGTTGAATGACTTCATCCTTTTGAAGTGTATTCAAATATTTATCCTCAAAAAGTTGTTTCCAATACATGAGTTGATGAACTATTTGATATTCTCTCTGAATGACAAACCAATTGACACAAGTAATACCTTGCTCATTGAGCTCTTTGGATTTTTCAACGTATTTTCTCAATTGATTGGAAGAATCGTGGAGATTTTTCAAATCGCTCAAGAACATGCCCAGGTAGGGTATACAAGCTTCAGATCTGAGAGAATCTAATATACCTCTCAAAACTCTAAAGTTAGCTCTCAAACTGACAATTTCTCTGAGATTTTCCAATTTTTCCTCATATTCACTGCCTGCCTCTTGTCTTGTGAGTTTCAGACGGAAGGCTGAGGCAGACATTAAGCCTGCTGATATGGCAAATATTGTTCCAAAGTTTTGATAACTCGACAAGTGATTCACGCAAATATCAATAAAGAATTTAAAGGCCTTGGCTCTTTCTTCAACTGTTTTAGGTTGGACAATTTCATTGGCAACCCATCTGGCAACATTTTCAAAGTGCTTATTGTTGAGAATGATGGAAGGGCACTTGTTTGGTGTCTTTCTCCATGGAAATCCAACAAATTCAAACGATCTCAAATTTCTATAGTGTTCCATCTCGAGAATGGTCAATTGTGCTGCAAGAGCTTCTTGACCTATTGTATAAATATTAACTTCTCGATTAATATCTTGAGGCTTCAGTGAGGATGAAGAAAGTGGATTGACAATTTTGAATTGTCTCTTCTTTCTCAACTCTTCCAATGCTACTAATTTGTTGTACAAATGATGTTTCACTTGAACGCCCTTGATATACTTTACAGAATTGAGAACATTTGTGTTATTCTCCTCCAATGACACACTATTAATCAAATAGGTATCTAAAAATTGAGACAATTGCATTACAATCAAGTCATCATTTTCCTCATCTCTAGGATCCATTCTGATACAATAGTGAACGAACATGTTCAAAACTTGCATCAGCTTGATAATCTTTCTTCTCTTTTCATTTTCTTTAAACTCTACTTGTTGATTATCCAAATCAATCAAATGAGTGAAACACATTCTAAGGAAGTTAGATTTCGTCATGAATGATTCAAAAGTTTTGAAAAATGTTCTCTGGAATGAATGGGCCTCAATGATAGTCTCATTAGAAGTATCAATGTCGCCATTTGTTGGTGAACCAGGTGTGAACATGTTACCAACTCCAGTTGGTGAACCAAGCAAAGGACCTGGAGGAGTAGGAGAGGAAACATTACTCTGTAAACTACCATTCAATGCACTGGTACGTTGTTGATTTGACATGAAATCCAAACTGCCACTGAACCCGCCAATTACAGCACTTGAAATCATTGACAATTCAAAAAGATCTGAATCTGACATTTCCGATTCATTCACTGCATCAATTAACCTTTCCAATAAATTATGAACAGAGCCACCAATAAATGTTTCCTTCCCTTTAGAAATTAAATCAATTGCAACACATTCATTGACACCCAACCAAAACTTGTTAACCTGTCTAAAAGAATCCAAATGAAGTACCTCCTTTGAAACAAATGTAATTACATCCTTCTTTTGACTATACGGATAACAAATTCTCAAATGCTTCAAAATTGATAATCTCCATCTATTAGAAACATTCATACAATATCCAATTGTTTTCAAGTCCAAATACGATGAAATCGTAGCAAGTATTTCCTCAGGAATTTGATCCACAATTACACCCACTCTTTCAATAGCATCATCACGATCATGTTGTTGTTTTGATGAAATCATTTTTTTAAGTTTGGTTTCAATTCATCATCCACAATCATCATCCCTACGAACAAGAAGAAGAGAATGAACTTGGCCAAATGTTCCATTGATCTTCTTTTTGTTCTCATTACAGATAATTGACAAAAGAGGAGGAGAATTACTGTAATTACAAGTATCTTGAAATTATTATTAATAATTGTTATTAAACATAAAATTAATAAATCAGAACTTAAAGGTTAAAATTGATGAGTTGTTCTATCAATTAATTTTCCAATTTTAAAAAAACAAATCATAAAAAAATTCCTTCCGATTGTATCATCATCTACAAATTACATTAAAACAGCCTTTTGGAAGGAGAGAAAATTAGATCATCATAATTATAATTATTGGAAATGAGTGCACTGATTAATATTATTGGATGGATTGGAACAGGATTGGCAATCTTTGTATTTTACTCTCCTTATAGATTGTTGACTAGTGCCCTGAAACAAAAACAAGGAAAAACAACAGAATTAGGAGAATCAAGCATTGACTTGTCTAATATTACACCTTTTCCGTATCTTGCAATGTGTATTAGTGCATTATTGTGGGTAACATATGGAGTAATAATCGAGGATATGATTTTGGTCATTACCAATATGGTTGGATTTATTGCAGCTTGCTATTATAATTGGTTGTATTATAGAATTACTGATAAGAAGGAGGAATTTATTTCAAAATGTTCAATTGGTCTTGTAATTTATATTTTATCATTGAGTTTCGTATTGTTTATTGCTCCTTCACATAAGGTTGTGAGCTATTTGGGTGCAATCTCTGCCATTGGAAGTGTTATCATGTTTGGAAGTCCTCTTGTTACTATTAAACAAGTTCTGGAAAAGCAAAATTCCGAATCAATTCAACTTCTCCTTGCTGCTGCCAGTGCTGGTTGCAGTTTCACTTGGCTTTTATATGGATATTTAATTTCAAATTCTGCCATTTATATTCCTAATGGAATTGGATTGTTTTTAGCATGTATTCAATTGGCATTGAAATACATGTACAGAAGAAACCTTTCGGGACCAAAGGTATTTTCACTCTCACGAAACAATGAAATGGCTCAAACTGAGTCTGTCTAAATGAAATGTTCATAAGAACTCAAAGTTATTGAAAAGTGATGATAATTAATTGTAAAGATTATAAATTAAGTTTTATTTCTGTTGTTGTGTTTGCATGCAACCATATTACTGAGCACATGATAACGAGATTTACTTGGCATATCTAATAGTCCATTCCTTTGCAGTATTCAATGCAGTATTTTGATCCTTCTTCCATTCTTCAGCAACATCATTTGCCACTATTTTAATATTAATTGAAATAATTACATTTTAGGAAGTGTCAAAAATACTTACATGGATCGTCTGGATTTGGAGCAGAAAGTAAGGCTTGAATACTCAACAAGAGAGTTCTGATTTGCAATGCAGGTGACCACTTATCTTTGAGAATGTCCAAACAAATTCTTCCCAATTTATCAATATTTGGGTGATAGATTTTCGTTAAGAATCTTACTTTTGGTGGAGCCATTGGATAATCATCAGGAAGGAACAATTCCAATTTGAAAATACCTCCTATTATATTTCATAAATTTTCAAATCCGATAATATATTTTGAATTAAATAATACAGTTTAATTAAATAATACAGCATCCAATGGTACAAAATGTATTAAATATTGTATGATGGTTAAAAAACAAACCTTCATATGGAGTTTGTGGTGGTCCTTCAATGGAAACTGAAAAGTAACGCATATTTTCTTCTGTTGGTGTAGCAGTGATGCCCGTAACTTGTTATAACGTAGTTAGCAACTCTTATTTAAACATTAAAACTTACTTGGCTCAGACATCAGTTTTTGAGTTTCCTATTCATACAAAATAATTATTAAATCAATATTAATATTGTTATTAATCATTTTCGAACCAACATAGCCGGATGAGAAAAATCATCATTTAATAATAATAAATACATCATCCAACAACAATCAATATTATAAACATTAATACAACAATAAAATAATTTGATCATCAACAAAATGGTTGTTATTAATAACTTCCGGTTCATCAAAACTTGACAATCTTACCTTGATGATTCTTCTTGGCAAGTTGCTCATTTTTATTTGTGGTATCTAATCAAATTTCCCTCCAAAATTAAAGTAGTCTTTCCTTGGCCAGTTGGAGAATAATAATTTTCCATTCTTAACCAATAATAATGCTAATCGAATTATTCTTTATCTCAACTAACTGTAAAGGAATCATAGAAGAATTCTGAAAACTAGTAAATACAAAAAAATGCTCATATAAAAATGAAAGAATATTAATGCAAGAAAGATTTTGTAAACGTTGCCTCAATGTTGTCATTCAGCACCTTAAACTCCAATAAACCCAAACATGTTGTTCAATGAACTATATTCAAGCAAACTTTCACCCCTGAGGCTAAATCTCAATCAAAGTGATTTGTTATTTGTCTTTAATCTACAGCGGATAATTCCAACTTGTTGCTCACTTTCGGTAAAATACAATCTTAATATGGATTGAGTGCTGTTTACACTGGAGATGTCAATGTTTCTCATACACTAACTTTCTATCTCTTAATAATCACAACATTAAAAAAAAATTGAATTACTGCTCGCACTAAAACCATTCAACCTTTATAAACTATGCAACATCAGCAGGACTATCATGAGCAGCAACAACGGGAAAACGAGGCTGAAACACATTCCCAACCAACACAAGAACAAACAACAATACCAACAACAGTATCACTGTTTGATGGTAGTGAAAATATTACAGGTAGAAATGGCAATCCATTATTTACAAATCGGAATCGTCTATCCAAATCAATGCAAAATTTGACAGAGGTAGATTTTGCCACATGTTCTTCTCTGTGCGAAAAGTTTTATGTAATGAATTTGTTGCAGTCGACGAGTAAAGATATGGCCATCATGGCTATTGATTGTATTTTGAATGGAATTGTGGGGCCATCATCACAACAACACATATCTAGCACTGAAGAAAATACAACAACATGCTCTGTATTACCAAATCAAGAGGATTGGCAAAACTTGAAGGCATGGGGATTAACGGAAGTTATAGAATTTGCACATGAATATTACCATGATCAATATTTAGACTTTTTACAATCAAGGCAACACCTCACCTCATCAACATGCAACAACTCTGAATGTGGAGAGCCTCAATTGAAAAAAGTAAAAAGAATGCATCACAGTAGTACACCACATCAACATGCAACATGTGGTGTTAACATGGATACACAAAGATACGAATCTTTCTATCATGCATTGGAAATTATGAGAGAAATAATTGAAAAAGATCAAACATCGTTCGATGACATTAAAGATGCCATACAGAACATTTACAGACAACATTTGATTTCTAGTATTGGATACTATGAATCATCGTATAGGAAAAATCCTCTTTTGGAAAAGTTTTACTATCACATTTTGGAACTGTATAGACAAACAGACCAAAAAATTGGATGTATCAAGTTTGCAGAATTTGGATTACTTTACAATGGAAGACAGATTAAAAATTTGGAAAACATGCTCAATAATATTAACAAGGACATGTTTGCATTATCACATGCATTTTTGGACAAACATTGGAGACACTGTAGAGCCCATCAAAAATGTTTGGAGGGTGTATTAATGTTCTTTTGTGATTGTACAGATAATGAAGCAATGACTGGAATTTTTGAAGAATCCTATTCATTGGACCCTTCATTTATATATGCCTATTGTAACATAGGCTATTTGAAAGGATTTAATGTGTTTGGGAATAGAGAATTGACGCAAGAGGGAATTTCATGTTTTCACAAGGCTCTCACATTGTGCAATCCTAGCGATGAATTTTTTATCAAGGTTAACAGTACCAAGACACTTGGTGTGTTGCACATGATTTCTGGAAATTTCCAAGAGGCATTTGTTCAATTTTCAAAATGTTTGGAAATCTTCCCTGATTATTATCAAATTTATAAGGACAGAGCAGAAGCATTTTCAATGTATGATACTTTTATGGCAATGAAAGATATTGAGAAATGTTTTGAAATTGAGCCAGAGAGAAAATCTGACATGTGTACACTACTTAACATGAAAGCTGTCCTTCTTCACAAAATGGGGAGACCACAAGAAGAAATTACAACTATACTGGAGAAGGCTATGAGTGTTGATCCAACCAATTCGTATCCATTCCTAACCCTTTCTAGTTTAGCTATTCAAGAGGAAGATTTGGATAGATATTTGGAACTTCGGTCTAGATTTAAAACGTACACTAATCAATCGGTTTCAGATCTTCTCAATCAAGATATTAAGGCTTTTGAAATTTTCGATCAAATCTACAATACTAATCTTGAAGATGAATATCAAGCTAAAAAGAAACAACATGCTTCAACGTGGTATAGAATATCTTAAATAATCCCAAATAACGAATCCCTTATTTTGAACTTTTTTGTTGAATTTCAATTAGCCGACTGTTGAATTTATTTCCTCTGCTTATTTAAATAAATTTACAACCACTAATCCATCTCTTGAAATATATTCAATTTATTAAAATGCAATTCTTGTCTTCAAACAAAAACAGAACCCTCAAAAACAAAGCTATTAAATTGAAACATCCACCTATTTTTACAATATCACAGATGGTGCGAAAAAATCAACGCTCTCCTTTTACCCAAGACCTCTAGATTACAACACTTGAAAAAATGCAAAGACAAATCATCTCTAAGAAATCATCATCAGCCGCCAATTCCTTGGTGAAAAATCTTATCAGTAAACAAGTGCGTTTTTCATCATCAAAATATTCCTTCTCCGAATATGATTTTTTGCCAAGATTAGGTCTCGTTGAAGAAGGTAATCCAGGTATTTGTATTGGAGGAGAATGGAAAGGATCAGGTGAAGTTTTCCAATCTATTTCACCATCAGATAATAGAGTCATTTCTACTTCTGTTGGTCCAACCATTACCGAATATGAACAAGCTATGAAATTGACCAAGAAGGCAGAAATTGAATGGCGTAATAAGCCTGCTCCATACAGAGGAGAAATTGTTAGACAAATTGGTGTTGCTCTCCGTGAAAATATTAATGATTTGGGTAAATTGGTTAGTTTGGAAATGGGTAAGATTTTACCAGAAGGTGTTGGTGAAGTTCAAGAATTTGTTGATATTTGTGATTTTGCAACTGGTTTATCTAGAATGATCAATGGTCAAGTTATGCCAAGTGAAAGACCAAACCATGCCATGTATGAATTGTGGAATCCTATCGGAACTGTTGGTGCAATTACTGCATTCAATTTCCCTGTTGCTGTTTATGGATGGAATGCTGCTCTTGCTTTAATTTGTGGTAATACTATGGTTTGGAAAGGTGCTCCAACAACTTCATTATCAACAATTGCAACTGGTAAAATTATTCAACAAGTTTTGAAGGATAACAAGTTAGATCCTGCTATTTGTACAATTATGACTGGTGGATCTGATATTGGTCAAGCTATTTCTGCTGATAAGAGAATTGGATTAGTCAGTTTTACTGGAAGTACTCAAATTGGTAAGAAGGTCAGAGAAGTTGTTGATGATAGATGGGGTAAATCTTTATTGGAATTGGGTGGTAATAATGCTATCATTGTTTGTGAAGATGCTGATCTTGAAATTGCTTTCAGAAGTGTCTTGTTTGCTTGTGTTGGTACTGCTGGTCAACGTTGTACCACTACTCGTCGTCTTATTATTCAAGAAAATGTCTATGATCAATTCATTTCCAAGTTAAAGAAGGGTTATTCCAATGTCAAGATTGGTGATCCAATTAAGGAATCTGGTTTCTTGTGTGGACCTTTGCACACAAAGAATGCAGTTCAACAATATAAGAAAGCTATTGAACAAGCTAAACAACAAGGAGGAAAGATTCTCTATGGTGGTAATGTTCTCGATAGACCTGGAAATTATGTTGAACCAACAATTATTGAAATTGCCTATGATGCTCCAGTTGTTCAACATGAAACCTTTGTTCCAATTGTTTATGTTATGAAATTCAAGACTCTCGATGAAGCTATTCATATTAATAATTCTGTTGAACAAGGTTTGAGCAGTAGTGTATTCACAAAGAGTCAATCTAACATGTTCCAATGGCTTGGTCCAAATGGTTCTGATTGTGGTATTGTCAATGTTAATATTCCAACAAATGGTGCTGAAATTGGAGGTGCTTTTGGTGGTGAAAAGGCTACAGGCGGTGGTCGTGAAAGTGGTTCTGATTCTTGGAAGCAATACATGAGAAGATCTACTGCCACAGTCAATTATGGTAACACTTTACCATTGGCTCAAGGTATTAAATTTGATTAAACTTTTGAATATATTTCACTGCTACTATAATTTCTCTTCTTTATGTACTTCATTTGTAAATGGAATAGATTAAAAAATATTACAATAAATTTTATACACTTTACAAAACCAATCTGTCAACACCTTGTTGTTGAGAGAATGCGTCAGATTTACCAAAGGCTTGTCTCAAATTATTACTGTTTGTGATACCTTCTCTATTAAGCTTCAGTTTCAATTCTAACAGCTTTCTCAAATTGCTAAATTGTTCAATTTGTCTCATGTTTGGATCGTGGGTTTCCTTAATGTACTTTTGTTTTTCTCTCAATTCTTTACTCAATTGTTCGAGTTTATCAATCTTACCCTTCAAGTATGAGGTATAGGATTGATATTCCAAACTGAATCGCTTGCCAGAATTCTTTGAATCCAAATATTCCTTTTCATCTTCCAGTCTTGACTTGATTGCATTGTTCAAGCAGCTTTGACTTTGAAGTAAATAGTAAAGACTTTGTTGTCTATCAATTTCATCCTGTAATTCCTTAATATCTGTTTTTAACTTGCTGACTTCACTTTCTTGTCCCAACTTGATGTTATCATACACTGCCTTCTTATCATTGAATTCATTTTCTACAACTTGGTGTTCTTCACGCAAAATCTTGAGTTGCTTGACTGGTTGTTTGAGACGTTCTTTTTGAGCATTTATCTTTTCGTTAAGTTCCTGTACAATCTTGGAAATTTCTTCAAGAGTTTCTCCCTTCTCCTTATCAATCTCGTTCTTTGTTTGTGAAGTGTCAATAATTTCTTTTTGAATTTGTCTAAAACCTTGAATACCCTTTTCTTGTTCCAGTTTTCGTAAGAAACCTTCCACCTTTTCATCCTTTGATTTCAAAATATCCTCAGTTCTTCTCAAAACAAGATTTTCCTTCTTCAATTCACTGAGTTCTGCCTTCATCTTTTTAGCAACGTTTGCTTTTGACATTACTTCATGTTTCAAAGCTTCAAATTCTTCTGGTGTAGGTATCTTTTGGCCTTCGTATTGTTTCAAGTCTTCTTCAACTTTTTTGATTTTTTGTTGAACTTTGCTCAATTCCTTTTGATTGGTTTGAAGCCTTTTTTCCATATCTTGCTTCTTTTTCTGTACAACTTTAACCATTGATGTGAGTCTGTTATCGTCCTTATTTTGTTGATTTTCTGTTTTTTGAGATAATTCGTCTTGAAGAGTGGTAATTTCTTCCTTCAATCTTCTAATATCACTATCCACTGAAAGAAGGGCATCAGTCATTGAGCTCATATTTGATACCTTCTTTAAAATATCAATCTTGTATTGTTTTTCTTGAAGTTCCAATGGGAACTTGGTTTGGGTATCCTCTCTGTACTTGGAAACAGTTTCTTCTAATCCTTCAATTAGTCCATCCACATCACCATTTCCAATATCTTCCTCTGTTTCTTGTAATGCTTTTTGTACTACAGCTAATTTATCTTCACTTTCTCTCAACTTATGGAGCTGATCTTGTTGACTTTTTTCCAATGAAAATCTTTCATCTTGTTCCTTATTTAATTTACTTGTTAGCTCAATAAATGCTTCAGAATCATTCTATTATGAAAATAAATTATCTGGAAATTGATATTTAAAAAACCTACAGATAATTCTCTCATCTTTTTAGTCAATTCTTCACTTTTAACTTTTAATTGTTCCTTGTCACGTTCCATTTTAAGAATACGTTGTTTGATCTGTTCTGGATCTTGGGTAGAATCTCTTAGAGCAGTTGTCTGTTGGTGAGTTGTTTTAAAAGTTTGAATAAGTTGTTTGTATTGTTGAAAGACAGAGCTAACTTCTTGATCCATTAAAAATTCATCTGGTACCTTAATTTCCACCATATATTTGGCCAAATAAACTCTCTTTTGCATATCTTCAATTTTAGAACAGATACTGAAAAGAATTGGGTAGAGAGTCTTTCTATCTCCATTTACCATTCCTTGGGCAAGTTCATTTCTTTTATAAATTATTATTGGCAGCAACAATTCATAATTACGATTAATTAAGGATACTAATCAAAAGAAACTTACTGATTTTCTTGTCTCAAATTTTTCATGCCCAATATTACTACTAAAAATTGACTAATTCTTTGGAACGTTACTTCCGGAGATTCCTTAGAAATATCAGCTTTATATTCAGGAGATAAATATCCAACCAAAGAATTCAAAACTTCCAATAATCTACTTGGCTTTGAACTTGACAATTCATCAAAAGATACCAATGTAAGATTCATCTTTAAATGTTTGTTCAATGTTTGTACCATCACTTCGATTTCCTCACTTCCGTGTCCTTGTTCCCTAAAGGAAACACCTCGAGCGCCTCCTCTTGTAGTAGCCCTACTTCCAGGCATGGCACTTCTGGCTGTTGGTGGTGGTTGCTCTACGTTGTTGCTGAACATTTTTTTACGTGTTGTTTGATGTAGTTTTCCTCTGTTGTACTTGATTTTGGCGGGAAATTTGTTAAACTCATAGAGAACAATAATTTGAATTTCTCTTATTCCTAATTTTAAAATCACATTCATTTCATTCAAGATAAAATCAAAACTTTACCACCATACCAACAATACAATAATAAAATCAAATATATAATAAACAACTTTTAAATGCAATAATTTTAAATCAGCAACACATAAAAAAATGTTACCATCATCATCCCTCACCAATGGTGGTAGTCATCACTCAAATTTTTCGGATGATAATAATGGAGGTGGAAAGGATGATTCTACTGGTTTTCCAAATTATATCAAGTCATCAGAACAAAAGAGGTTGAGAGTTACATCACTTGATGTTGTGGATGAATATTCTACGAATTGGAATACACCCGGTGATGAAATGGTAACCACAACGTATAAGAGAAGTATTATTTCTCCCTTCCTCATATACTTGATAAAAAGTAGTGGTTTGATTCTTGATTTTCCGGATCAAGTACTTTTTGGACCAATACCAAAATCCTCTCTTCTTCTAGGACCTAATAGCGTAACAAAACCAACAGCCAATACTTGTCTCTTGGAATTTTTAAGACAAGAACAAGTGGACTTTAAAAGCTTTTTACCACCATTTCTTTCCCTCTTCTTCAAGTCAATCAAGGAACAACCTGGACATTTTTCATCAATTGCAACATTTACCAAAATGAATGAAAAAGTGGATTCTTACGAGTATGATGAAATGCAGGATGTTTTTGTTAATGGATTTAGAAATTCACCTTACGAGTTTAATCCTAATAACACTGTGCAGCCAAATGAAGTTGATACTGTATTTGATTTTTTACATGATTGTATAACTCATGAATGTATAGGAACTGTGAGCTGTTCTGCTTACTTTGTCATTACAGAATTGGTGAAAATAATGTCAGAAATGCCAAAGACTGTGAAATCTGACTATGACATTGAAATTTGCAAGAGGTATCTCTCATTCATCAACAACATGTTCAAGAGTATTTGCACTTATAGTATTAAATTTGCAACTCAATCAGCCTCTAGAAAAAGTGATGAACACTTGATTTTGGAAACTCTTGTTGTAGTTTTTCGAGTCATGATCATGTTCCTCAGCACTAATCATAGAAGTTGTAATGGAAGAGATGAAGAATTGAAGCATATTGTAAATGACCTTGTTTATAGAGTTGCCAGTATGATGCCATTCTACAAGCTCATGAATTTAGTGCACTCCCTAACAACCAAACATGTTGCCACTCAATTTCCACTTTCCATTATTCAAGATTTAAAGGTCAAGACCCAAAAGCTCAGAAAGATGCTTAGCATGTGTTGTGAAAATGCCAGATCAATCGTATTTTTGCAACATCTTCCTGTGTGTGACTATTCACATGCAATGCAATATAATGGAAGCTCTTCTAAGAATGATATCAATTTCAAGTTTGGACTCTTTACACCAAAGAGAGGTTCTACTGAATGGATTAGAAAAGTTCAAAGATTATCCAGTGCCCTCTCGCAACATATTTGTTGTGATGCATTCGAAGTAATTCCTGCTCTGGATAAGAAATTTCAATACAATACCGAAAAGAAAAATCAAGAAGAATTGGAAAAGTGTAAAACAAATTTTACCAAAGAAATGCTTCATGAAGCTGTTGTGCTCAGAGTTCTTCAATTACTCGATGAAAAGGACATGTATCCAGCTGCAGAGAATATCTTTACTGATGTATCTAAGGGAATAATTGGAAAATGGATTTTATTGGCAAATCAAATGTACGCTTTCATTACTCGTAAAGTAATGCTAAATATGAGAATAGTATTATTTGGAGAAGATGAATTATCAGATTCAACCACTCTCCATCATAAGGGTAATTTTATTAACATTTCAAAAGATCCAACTGTTGAAGCAAGTTATCAGTTGTTAAGCATTAGAAAATGCGTAGAATTATATGGAGATCATATGAAAGATCATTTCATTATTTGGCTCCTCCTCCAAGTACATCCTGTATTGGAAGCTAAACGTTTCTTTGATGATCCATTGTGCGAAAGAGAATTCATCAAGCTCGTACAAGAATTGAAAGATAAGAATTATACTAAGTGGCGCCCAAGTGAGGAAGAATTGATCAATACTCACTATTCTTACATTCTCCTAAGACGTCTTAACAAGGATGATCAGGCCCACATTAAGGAATTTGAAGAGTGGAGAAATACCTACGGTAAAAATCTTTACAATCTCGATGAAATTGGGTTGAAGAGATTATTCTTACTTTCCTCATACTTTACCAAACCAAGTTCAGACTTTTTAATTGATTTTTTGAAAAAGCCAGATCTGGTCGAATCTATCAAAACTATTCCTAATGATTCAGGCAAGATCGAATTGTTCTATCCATTTGAAGGAAAAATTGTTCCTCTCAGTGTAAATATGATTCTTGTATTGTCTGTTCATGCCAGACACAGACTCTTTGATAGCTTGTGTGATAGCCTGAAAAATCTTACGCCCCCACAACCAAAAACTGATGGTGGCAACTCTCAACCAACAACAACAGATAATTTTACAGAAGCTTACATTCCTCCTGCTATTGTAGAAACCCTCTCCAGAACTCTGTACTGTTTGCCATTTGCTGTCAATAATTTCAAAGATCTTCTCGAAGGAAAGACTCGTAGTAATCATTGTAATTATGTATTTTTGGAAATTATCAACTTTAGATTGATGAGATATTTGAGATACTTTGGTGGAGACATTTTCTTCCACTTGTACATTGAAATTTATCTAGCCATTGGTAATACTACCTTGGAAAATAACCATCACCGTCTCTATTTATTACTTGAAAACTTTTGTATCAAGGCCATGTTGTACTTGATTACAGATTCTAAACGTGTTGTACACTTTTTCGATAAGAATGCCTCTAAATTACCTCCAGAGAAAATTTCTGAAACCTTCAAAAGAACCTTAATAAGTGCTTGTATGAAGGTTTTCAAATTGTCTCCAATCAAATTAACTAATCTTGACAAATCTAAGAAGGTATTGCAACGTTTGGTGAGTGTTTGTGGAAAAACAGTCGAAGAGTTTGGAAAACTAACATCCAAGACAAGACTCTACCCAGACTTTATTAAAACATCATTTGAGAATATCAAGATTACTGAAACAGAAGCTCCATCAACAGTAGCACAACAGAAAAACGATCCTAAAAAACCAGAAGATCCAAAAGAGATTCTCAAAAAGGTAGAGAACCTTTGTGATAGCTTTTGGGATAAACGAGATAAGGTTAGCACCATGAAAAACCTTGAGAATATTCCACACTCTAATTATTTATTATGCGCTATTTGGAGCAGAGTATTTGAGAAAGAATTTAGTAAGGAAAAAGTTGCTTTCTGGAAGAAATGGATACCAATGTTACTTCCTCCAAGATTGTTGGTGGATAGTGTTTACAAGATGATTAACCATGTACTTGATGAATTTTTATCTGAAGAGAATGAATCAGGAGATCAAGATGAATCCATATTCGTCAAAGTTAAGCAAGTCTCAAGTACTTTGACTAAATTGATTTGGGAATTTGAATTTTTACCTTTGGAAACTGTTTGTCTTGCACTCATTGATAGAGCTAAAAATGAAGATCCTAATCTATCAAACAAGCCAACAGAGGATTCAACTGAAAAGAAGGCTATCGAACACAAGTATGCCCATAATATTCTTCTCCTCATTATTACTGATAATCAATTTTCCAAGAGAGTTGACTTATTCTTGGATCTTAATCGCAATCCTAACTTGTTTGATGTAAATGATAATTTCACTGCTCACCACAAGTATCACTCCCAATATCCAGAAGGATTTGGTGCAATGAAAACAGATGATTTTTTGAATGCTAATCCATCCTATTACAATAATATTTGCTTGAGAATGATTCCAATACTTGATTTAATTTGTAGACGTTTATGCGAATTGAATTTGTTTGACTTTTTACGTCAAATATTGGATAAGTATGGTGGATTATTTGCCTACCACGATTATCCAATGACATTTGTGAAGGAATTACTACTTTACTATGTTGATTTGCCAATTGAAATTAAGGAAATGCTCTTTACCATTATTTGCAAGAATGAAAAGTATCTGTTATCTGATATGGATGCAAGCTTTTCTGCAGTTGCCAAATCACACTTTGGAATTTCTGTGGACGATTCAAACTTTATCAAAAAGACAGGAAAGACCTATATAGACCAAACATTTGATCTTCATTACTTTTTAACTTTGATTACCAATATTTCTGAAGTATTGCCAACAATTCAGGAACCCAGAGCCAATCATACCTACATTAATCCAAAACATATTTTCTATGAATTTTCCAATACATTCGAATTGCGTTTGAATGCTGGAATTATTGAAGTAATGTGTTTGCCATTAACTCTCCAAGAAATTATTTCCAAACTCGTGGATTGTCTCATCCAGAACACATCAGTCTGTCCACCACACCAACTCTTCAAATGCTCCTATACCACTGGCTTGTTCTTGGCCTCTCTTCCAAATTACTCAACTCCTACCTCCCCATCAGTTTCAGATTGTCTCTTTGCCATTCTCATGCATTTCTTGCATGCTAATCCTCATCCACTTCTTGTAAATGACTTAGAAAATACTCACGAAATGGGAAAAGTTGTGAAAACTCCATCTGAATGCCTCTTGTGTATCTTGCAGACATTCCTGTACTCTTCAGGTCACGAATCATTTATTAGTTTGAGAAAATTCCTTGCCAAAGCCAGAAAATCACAAACCTCTAAATTGGAGACAAGGGAACAATTCTACATGGTCTGTAGATTACTTGCCCCATTCATTCCAAAATTGCACAGTGACAAGTGGACAAATTCTGACTCTGGTCCTGCTCAAGACAAGGAAATGAAGATTCTTTTGGAATCCTCTTTCCAAGAATTAGTACTTTTATTTTTGACTATTGAATGGGATGTTTGTCCTGAAATTATTCTTGCCAAGAAGAGAAAGTATTCTACTGTTGCAACTTCGTTATTCAAACAAAATGATGGTGACATATCTGAAGATGAAATGTTAGAACAAATTCTCTACTTTTTCCAACATTTATTCCACATTCTCTATTCTACCTCTCCACCTTCACGACAACAATTTTTGACCTCATTCTATAAGGAACTAGACAAGTGCACCAATACAGCACTGAAAGTTAGACTAAGAATTATTTTCACACAAAAGGAAGTCGTTGTTGAGCCTGAAAAGCCTTAATAAAAGAGCTAAATTTTAAATGACATTTAGAAATCAAAAAGAAATAAATCTAATTTTCCTAATTTGTTGTTATTACAAAATTTATTATCAATTTATGCGTACATATTACTATCGTCATGCTTATCATTATCATCTCTTGGACCACCTCCAAACATTGATGAGAATGGATTATTTCCACCGAACATTTTAGTGGCATACTTTTGCATAAAAGCAGAAACTTCTGGATCACTCATATGTTGCACGAGAGTTTGTGGATCATCACGAGCAGCAGTGAAAATTCTAGTGAGCTTGTCACTTTGTTGAACTTCTGGATCTTCCAAAATTTGATTCATGACAACTTTTTGTTGTTCATCAAAGTTTGGCACACCTGATTGACCATCCATACCACCAAACATGTTTGCAAGACCGCCTGCACCACCCATATTTCTCATCATGTTACCCATCATTTCTTGCATACCTGGTTGTTGCATCATATTCATGGCCATTTGCATGAATTGTGGATTATTTAACATGTCACCCAATCCACCAAGACCACCGAGACCACCAAGGCCACCCAATGGATTAGCTCCACCCATTCCACCAAGCCCAGCAAATGGATTACTGGCAGCAGTAGCAGGTGCAGAGAGTTGTTCAATCTTGGCTCTATATTCAACTTCAGCTTCTGGATTCAATTCAATGAGCTTTTCATAGGTAGCAATAGCTTCCTTCTTCTTATTCAATTTAGCTTGAGCTTGAGCAAGTCTTTGATAGGCCTTGACATATTTATCATTCAATTTGATGGATTGTTCAGCACATTTCAATGCCTTTTCATATTGATTCAAACTAATGTAGGCAGCAGCCATATTACTTGGATAAATGTGATTTTCTGGATTGAACTTCATAGCTTCCTTGTAACATTCAACAGCTCCATCAAAGTCCTTGTTCTTTAATTTTTCATTTCCTTCTTCCTTTGCCTTTTCAGCCTTTTCAACATCGACGGATGGTGTTACTTGTTGTTGTTGGTGTGCCTTCATCTTTTCTTGGAATTTATGTTTAGCCTTTTCATAACGCATTTCATATGTATCGGTTGCTGTAGTATTCTTGAAATATCCCATAGAATCCAATTGCTTCATGAAAGCTTTGAACTTTTCATCACTAGAATTATCAACAATATTTAATTGTTGGCAACCTGATCTCCAAACTTGTTCCAAATTAATAGTATTAGCTCCTTCGGAAGGAATTTGATATGTATCACGGAGCATTTGGGCAGCAACTTGAGTGCCTTCAGTGGTTTCCTTTGATAAGAAATCAACAATTGATTTAATAAGTTCTCTGTTGGCGTAACTCATCGTTAGTTGTTGGATAATGAATTTTTTTTAAAATTATAAAATAAAATATTTTATTCCGATGTAAAAAAAGATGATCAATTAATGCAACAAAGGGAGTGTCGGAAGATAAACTACCGAAGTCAGGTGTTCATCTAAGAAGGTTTCAAGAGATGAGCAAAAAATATTTGTTGAAGGAGAAACATTTGTTGGTTGAAGCTTGATTAATAATGTGTTGAATAATTTTATAATAATGATAACATTGTAAAACAAATTAAATTTATTTAATAATTTAATAATTTACATAATTTCTGGTTCGTGATGGTTGGATCGTTTTGGTTGCTCTTTCCAGTTCCAATTGAGAAAACCTCGACTAAAATCTACTTCTAGTTTTTGTTTATCAACAAGTTGGGCTGGAGCACTTTTCGAAGATTTTCTAGTCTTTGAAATCTTGGTTGTATCAAAACTAGAACTGGTTTTTAACAGGAAGGAACCAAAGAGTTGATTCTTATCTACATTGGATGATTTGGAGGTGGTTTTGGAGCTTGTTGGAGATGTCTTTTTTACAATTAGTTGTTTGGTGGAGGAAGGATTTTCGAAGGAAGGAGGACTATTGTTGTTTGCAATTGTGTCAGTAGTAATGTTATTAGGAGTTCCAAGTGGAGATGAATTATTCGACCTTGAGGAGGCAACTGAGTCACCAGCAGAGCTAGTGATCTTAATATCATCCATGGAATTATCAAGTGAAATAATCAATGGAGCATTGCTAGACTCTCCCAACGATTTGAATACCATATCAAAATCCTCAGCGGAAGGAAAGAGGGAATAAATTTCCTCTTCTGTTGTCATGTTGGTGGTTTCCATTTGGAGAATGTTTTGGGATGTGCTGTTGTTCAGGGTTTGAGAATCAGATGTTTTGATACTGCTATCAGTATCCAACAGGTTGTGGCTATTGACCATTAAATCTATCAGTTCTTGATTCGTTAAAAAACTATGTTTGGAAAGATATTGGTAAAGATGTTGTTGCATGGAATTATTAGAGGAATATTGTTGATAGTCATTCTTCCATTTAAGACTGAGTGTCTTGATGAGTTGTTCAGCACTTTCACCCTTGTTAGAATTGCTCGTTGACCAACAGAGTGGCAAAGAGGAGGTTGTATCCGAAAGTACTTCATCTATTATTTGATACAATACAGAAAGCACAGATTCTTTAAGAGAACATCTATCTTGACTCGATGACATTTCAGTAATTTGTTTCATTTCCCTCTCCAACACTTGGCTTCTAGATTTCAGATCATTGAAATCTGAAATAACTTGTGGATCGTGTGATGATTGAGTATTAATCATGCCAGCATAACTTCCCAACTTATCAATCATTACCGAATCCTTCTGCTGTTGTAATCCAAGAGTGGATGAGGGAAGAGGACCTGCCATCATGACCATCTTTAGAATTTCATTCATTGTAGTAGGCCTTGTCTCCATTGTTGATTGTTTCAATTGATGCTTCAACAAGGATGTCAATGCACTTCCCTGATGATGATGAGGTTGTTCTCTTGTAAATGGTGACGGAGTATCAAAATTTCTATTAAACAATCCATGACCATCAAAACTTTCATTCAAACGATTATTTAAAAATGTTTTGATTCGTTCTTGTTCATCTTCGTTTCTTAGCTTGCTCTGATTGTCAACCTCAAATCCCAAAGGTTGTTGGCTATTGTTTGGTTTGTACATTTTTTAATGATCATTGATGTAATGGTTTGGATTGAAGAACGCTTGTTTGATTCAATACTTTGTATTCAAAAGTGAGGGAGAGTGAGGAGTTAGAGAGTTGGCAATGAAATATTTTATAATTGATGGTCTTTGATGGGACGTAATCATGGAGAGACTTTGGAGGGAGTGGAAAATCCTTGAAAGGGTTTGATTGAGGAAAGGTGTTTTGTATGGAGAGAGATGTTACCATAAAAGAATGTTATCAACGAAGCAGGAGACTTTGAGTTCTTTCATTCGAATCATTACAAAATTTGAAATATATTGGTGTCATTATAAATATGCAACTAAACTATTTATCAATTTTTATTAAGCTGTTGTAACATTATAGTTAAATGCTTATTTATCAACATTTTCTAAGAAATTCAGATTGAATAGATTATGATGCAAAGAAGTCATTATTAGAAAGAAAGTTATCTCATTGGACCATCAGATGGAAAATTAGTGATATTCCACTGTTTATTTTGATAGTGAAGAGTGTGTCATGTCTGACCTGTTTTGATATTAAAAAAAGGGAGTACTTAATCATTCCTTTGTTTCAATAGTCAAATGAGTCGTGAGTAACTTAATTTATTCAACAATTCATACTGGAATTATTCACAGCAACAACTTTGTTTAAATATTATTATATTCACTCTATGAAGGAACTGCTTTACAAAACACAATAAGTGTTGTTGGCATGAACTTGCTATTTGATTGCAATATTTATTTTTAAAAAAAAATTGATCGTGCAAAAAGCATCATCACGCGAACAAGAAGAACATTTCATCACAAAAATAGTTGTTACTGTTAGTAGTACCTCCGAAAAATGTTCAGTTGGTTGACAAATGCTTTTAATAAATTGGGAGGAAATGAGGGTCTATCTTTTACACGTAAGAAGGCCTTTGAAAGATCTGACTGTTCTATTGAATTGAGTACCAGCAAGAAAAAGTACAAGGTGAATAGACAGGCTGTTTTGCAGGATGCTCCCATTTTGATGGAAAGTTTTGGTAAAAGTAAAGATATAGTAGTTGAAATTGGAAAAGAAAAGGAGGAATATTTGAAATACATTCTTGACTATTATCAAAACAATTCATTTAACTGTCCAAGTGATGATATTCATGGTGTATTGATGATCATTGTAGAATATTCGGGATTTGAAACAATTAAAAAGAAGATTGCCAAGTTTTTAATCAAGCAAATGAAACCTTTCGATGCTATCAAGTACTTTTTTGTAATTTATAATAGAGCAATCTCTCAGAATGCAGATACCTATGATCGACAAATTGTAAATAGATCAGTCTTCTCAATCAAGAGATTCTTTAATGAAATTGATAGTAATGAAGAGTCTAGAAAATTATTGATTGACAAGTTGAGTCCGGAACAAATATTGTATATTTTCGATAATACAGAAGTCAATGGGGTAATAGTTTCCACCGTTGCAATGTTGAGATTTATCACTGATTGGACATTGCACGATTTAAGCAATAGATTGGAAGCTATGAGTAAAATGGTAGAAATTGAAAAGAAAATGAAATATGGTTTGGTGAAATGCAATTCATTAGATTGTTTCAAAGAGTATGGTATCAAGGAATTTGATAGTACCACTGAATTCCTTTTCAGAGATGATGAATTTACAGTCTCCAAAATCAATTCACAAAAAGTTAAAATTGATGGTAATACCAGTCAATATGCCTATATCAAGTGTTACAACAAGACTGAACTTTCAACTGGAAAATACAAGTGGCAAATCAAGGTTCAGAAATTCTCTTTCTGGTTGGGCGTAGGTGTAGCTTTGAAGGACAGAGTTGAGAATGAAATATTCGATGACTTTGTAAGTCCATACGATAGTCATGGTTGTTACATGATGTCAGCAAATTCTTACAAATGGGAACCAACCAAATATACTTCAAGTTCATTCCCATTTGCTGTGAATGATGAAATCATTATGGAACTAGATTGTGATAAGAGAGTGCTATCATTTACCAATGTAACCAAGGGAACATCTACAAGTATCACAAATATTGATTTACCTGTTTTCCCATCCATTGTTATGGGAGGTAGTGAAAGCTTGGATTTTGAATGGTTATCTGTTTAAATAAATCATTATTAACGAAACACCAATATGTTAAACTTATAATTCCAAAGTTTTTATTTGAATAATCGCACGATATGATTAAACGTATCTGCCACATATAAAATTCCAGTACGATAATCCAAATCCAATGATCTGGGCTGAAAGGAAAAATTGAGTCCTTGAATTTGTTGTGGGAATACAACCTTGATTAATTTGTTTCCGTCCTTATTGTAAACTTTGATTCGGCAACTTTCTTGATCCAAGCATATAATTTGCCCATTAAGCTTGTCGTGTATCAACCCAACAGCTCCTAGGAATCCATCATCCTCATTTTGTTCATCCTTAATATATTTGATGAATTTCCACACTTTGGAATTTGAATCTTCCTCCAAAATTGCTACTCTTTTCTTTGAGTTATCTGAAATGGCTAATCTACAAGCTTTTCCCTCCTCTTCAATCAAATCAATCCCATATGGTAAATCAATAACATTTTCTTTTCTATCATCACCATGGCGCTCTAAACAATACTGGACCACCTTCCCAGTTGTACAACTAATGATTGGTATACCAGCAGAAGCAACATACAATAAATTCTCATATTTTCCATACCTAACGACCATACAAAGTGGAAATTGAGGAGTTGTAAGGGTCCATAGTGGTGATATTTCCTTAATTGATGGTGGTATAGTTGTAACATTTGGTTTCTGCTTCTTTCTTCCAAAACTAATTATTGGAAAGTTTACAATAGAATATTCCACTAACTCTTTGAGGTTATACTTTTCAATTTTTGATTCAAAACTAACGTATAGAAATTCCTTGTTGGTAAACCGACAATATTCCAAACACAATGCATTCATATTCTCTTTTTGATCAACAAGCTTGTAAACAGCCTTCGATTCCTTTGTGTTCAAATCAAAAAACTTGATTGCAAAATTTTCCCTATCTGCAACAATCATCAAATTACTAATCAGTGAAATTTTTACATCGAATGGAAGATAAAAATCAGTTGGTCTCGATGAACAATTACCAGAGCCATAGATTGTCTTGGATGATTTGAAGGAATTTGAGAAGGGAACTTTCTCTTGTAGTAGATTATTGAAAGGATTCCATGGGAGTGTTGATTGGGAGAACTTAGTGCACAGTTTGGAAAATGTCCACTTGTGAATTTGATCTTCGGTAATGATGACTTGTGATTCACTCTTTGTTTCATCATGAAGGGAAGGCATTTTTTCAAAACCAATTAAATCCCTAAAATTGAAAAATATTTTTTTCCCACAATCACACTTTACAGCTCCACAAGCACATGGTTACTGGTTGATTAGGAATGAAGTTAAACTTGTTTAAACATGATGATGGTCCTTTTATAACAACACTAATTAGAATTCTGCTTCTCCAATGATATTGTGAGGATAAAACTTGGACCCTGATTACTATTTATTTCTTCTTAAATAGATGCCTGCCATAATGCATTTTGCTTTTTTCCTTAAGGAAAAAACACCAAATTAATTGTTACAGTGATGGCGGTTTTTATTCTTTGTACAATTAATCTTGAATATCCAACAAGTTTACAGTCTTGTTCTCCTTCCAATATTCTAGATTGGTTTGGATATGTTCCATAGTAAAGTTCATCTTTGGAAGCAGTCTACAATAGCTCTTCATCATTGGAGAAACGATATAGTTAATAAAGGCAGATTGGAGACCATTCAAGCTTGGCTTATTTCTATCCATGAATGGAGACATTGTAATTCCTAGCTCTCTTTCCTTGTCACCTTGTGCATAGAATTCTTCTTCAATTCGTTTACCCCATTTGAGATACAACTTTAATGGCCTAGCTGGATTGCTTACGTCAGCAATCTTGATGGCAATTTGCAATGCCAATCTTACATCTTCCTTAGACGAGAAATCAATTTCTGCACCTTCTGACTCGGACTCTATTCTTGTTTTGAATCTACCTAATATTGTGGCATGGAGAGCCATGTCTGTTGCCAAAATCATTTGAATCATTGTTTCTCTTACGTCCTTATATTGTTCTTCTGATAATGTTTGGAAAATATCAAAGTCCTTGTTTCGCATCAATTCAAATGCTTCGGCTACGTGGTGGTTTTCTAGTACAGATCTGTCGTTATAGAGTATGGAAAGATAGGAGTGGGAATTCATTTGGAAGTTGTTATTAAGACCTGGATGTTGGTAGTCGTGAACTATACAGGAAAGGAGAGAAGCAAGAATATCTTCATCAGTCATGAACTGAGACAGACCTCCCTTACTGATAATATAGTGCATACACTGAGTGACATCAGTAGCGTGCATATTATTGTGATATGGAACTGGGCGATATCCAGCCTCAACCTCTCGTAAAAAGCTAATCAACACCTTTTCATTAATGTTGAACTTATTCAACAAGTCATACTTGAGGAAAATAGCATAGGATGTAAAGAAAAGTGGATGTCCATTAGAAAGTTCATTAATCTTGAAAGCATCATAGTTCCACTTGTCTAACTTTTCAAATACACTATTGAGTTCTTCCTTACCAGGTTTTGCAGCAGAGGACATGTCAGTAACAGAACCAGCCTTTGCAGCAACTGGTGGCTTTGGATCTTCTTGTGGTTTTGATTTACCCCCAATATGAGCAGAGTCAACAAACTTGGCCTTGATAAATTGAATAACTTCTTGATCATATTCTTTCAAATTCTTTCCGTGTTCAATCTTGTGGATGGAGTCAAATCTGAGTGAATTGGTAACAACATTAAAGTTTTCATGTTCCTTTTCATTGATGGCCTTACTCTTGATTAGCTTCTTCTTGACCAAAATCAAGTACTTGGATACTTGATTGGCTGGATAGATCAAACTTTCAATTTCCTTCTTACGTTTCTCCAACTCGCTATTTTGTTTGCGGAGTAATTCTGCCTTAGAAGCAGAGTCATCTGAAGACTTAGAAACAGCACCTACACCCTTCTTCAGGTTGCTTAGCTTTTCTCTTCTATGAAGGAAGTGTTGATACTTTTCCTTCACAACTTTCAAATCACGTTCAAGTTGATCAATCTTTTCTGTTGGTGTTGATTCTGTCTTTAACAAGTAAAATCCATAAAGTGGATAAATGAAAGAGTGGAAGATTTGTGTCCAATAGTTTGCACTCTTATCATTTTCCTTCTTTTCTCCGACTCTGGTAAGTTTAAGAGCAATGTCTGCCTTGAGCTTGTTTGCTGTTAACTCGAGGAGGATTTTACATTGATCTGTTGCTCCATCAATATTTACCTTCAATCTACTAGAATTAGTAATTGAAGCTCTTAGAGTCTCAAAGAACATTTTCCATTCCATGTTGGCCAATTTTAATTCCTTACCCAAGGAGTTTTTCTATTAGGGAATAGTTTAATAAAGGAACAACATGTTTTGTTGTTGTTGGTGATTTCAACAATAGGACATAAAGTTAGAAACAGTATTATTAAGAAACGTACCATATCAGTCAAACTCTTTTGAGAAAGAACTTTTTCATAATATCTATCTCTCAAGTCTGTAACAGCAATAATAAGACTCTCAAGGTCGGGCGTTGGCGAACAACCAACCCACAATTTCCTGGAAGCAAGAATATTCTGATTATTTGCCTGATTACGCTGACTTATCTTTTCATAGTTTTTACCTCCTCCTTCCTTATCATACATTTCGCAAAATGTCTTTTGGAAGGTTCCTAGTTGTGTTACAATAGGGTTACTATTTCCTTTAGGTACTTGATATAAAGGATGGAGAGGTGGTTCTCTTTCTCCAACGTATCCTGTTGAACCTCCTGAGCCCATCTTGAACTTGTTGTATTGTGTTATTATTAAGAAAAAAATAAGATGTTGCAAAAAGGATTGTGTCTTTTTCCTCCGTATTGTTTTGGTGATAGTAGAAAAGATACTAAGAAGAGACTAAAAAAGCTTCTGTGGAGGCGTTTTTTTCTAGTTTTTAAAAAAATGAAGTGTAAGTTGCTAGCCAGTAAATTTTTGTGGCGCGAATAAATTTACGACTTGCATTGATTGCCCATTACACGAACATTCGGTTGGCGCGAACCGGTGATGGGAACGACAGATTCAACTTCTTGTTCTGTTGTTCTGTCCTTATGTAACTGAAAGGATAACGACTGCCATAATTATTCTCTCATGAGTCTAGACGAACACATCTATTAAGAAATATTATCAATTATCAATTAAGATGATTCAAAAGATATGATGAATATTCTCATCTTGAAGAGAATCCCATGCTCAATAACAGTCTATCAATTTGCCATTCAATAACTTACGATAATAATAAATATTTATTATTGTTGATTTTCATTGAATGGATTCTTTTGTGGTAAATACGACAAATCATCGGTGTAGTACAGTATTATTGTGTTGCATCTCAAATATATTGACTAAGGCTGAATGACAATATGTTCAATCCATCACATACTGTCTATATATTAAAATTGGAAATCAGACTTGAAAAGATCTACATTTCTGTACTCACACTTTTCAACCAGGTCCTTTCTCTTCAGACAGCTAAAATCAAAACTCAAATAAAGCCATACACTATTATTTCTTGGACATAACTTGAGACTTCTCAAGTAGAACTTGGCTGCGTTCTCGTAATCAGCTCTATTACTGTGAGCAACACCTAAATTTACCCAAGCTCTCACATAGTCAGGTTTCAAATTTAAAGCTCTTCTGTAGCATCAATGC